AGAGTTGCACTGGGCCCCACGCTTAGGCCTGGTTTACATGAGCTGAGCATATGTGCTAGGCTGTAACGGACAAGTTTCAGTTTCAATGAAGCCGCTCGCCTGAACGTACGGCCGCGGCGAATGAGTTGAAGGGGGTCCCGCGCTTGGGGCAAAAATACAATAAATATGAAAACTCTTGTCCCAACGTAGAACGTAACTTGTAAAATTGTATTGTGTTAAATGGAGATTTACTGGAGTTCAAATACTTTAAAAAATAAAAACATTGCTCCGTTTATGTTTTATTAAATGTTATTCTTTTCTTTTACCTCTAAGTATATACCAATCAGGATTTTAAGGGGTAGAAGTATATTATCCGTTCAATTGAAAGGTTTTGTAAAATAGTAATTAATTAAGTTATGCGTCCAAATTTTGATCTCCAATTTAGTCTTTGGAGTCAAAATCATATACTGTATCACCAGTAAGATTTTTTAAATCTATATAGACACTTTAAAACAACTAGAGTCGTCTGATGTTAACAAAAAATTACATTTATTGGGATTGGGCGAGCGTTGTCGTATGAAATCGTAAATAAGCGAATAAGCAGAAGCAGAAGCAGCTGCAACAATAAATGATAATGAGCTGATAAGGGATCCTGTCTAGTCCTGTCTCTCACGCACGCGCATACACACACATAAAATGCCTTATCGCCTATCCAAAACAATTTAAATCACTTTACTCCCATAGTTTGTCCTTTGAGACTAGTGGTCACGTCAAGTTGGTTGAAATTGTCTTACTTTTGTGTTATTTTATTGTAATTCTGCAAACTAACAGTACAAAAACAAAGCTGAAGTGAGTAATGTTGTATTCAATGCTATGTTTGTGTTGTATTAATCGATATTGGATCCATTTAAACATCTTTCAGTTACTCATATAAATACTTAGCTTGTGAGTGTTTATTAGACATTGCAAGATTTTGCTCCTCAATAAAAAAAACTCAAACTTGAAAGTCCCCAATGGTACTTTTCATGCTAGGACTTTAACATATTATAAAAACGAGAATGCCATAGGTACCAAAACCATTATGAAAATAAAATAATCACACCTATATTGTAGTAATATTGAAAAACCATACAAATCGACGGCAATAATCGATAATTTAAATACGTAATAAATAAAAATATATCAATACTTCTTATCCAAATATATTATGGTAGCCTACCATGATACCATACCAAATATGCAGTCACTGGTACTATAAAGCAATAAGTTTTTATTTTTGTGTATAAAATTAAAATATGCTGTATATAAAAATATGTTAAAATAGTTATATTTTAAGAAAATTTTGTTATATAGAACTTATTGCTTATTTGGCCTTAAATTGCTCTATTTGAAGCCTAAATTTAGAAAATTTTCCCGGGGGAGGACCCCCTAATCCCACTGGAGGACCCCCCCCCCCCGAACTGAAATCCTAGGGCCCCATTGGAAAATTTGCCCGGGGCCCCTGAAGTCGTAAGTCCGGCCCTGTGTAGGAAAAGTATAATGTGCAACTCGAGTTCAAAGTGCAATTGCCTCACTCGCCTACGGCTCGTGAGTAAGGATTTCTCTCGAGTGAGTGAATTGCTCACTTTTCTCACTAGTTGCATAAATAACTATTTCCAGCATTCTTTTTGTGAAACAATTGTTTCGTTGTAATGTCTACGCGTATGACATAAGGGATCGGGCATTATTAATACATGGTTCTACATTTACAATAGTTTATTATACTAGTTCAGTTCCGATTTCCAAGCGAGGTCGATTCTGAACCTAAATGCTATTTTTCATTGGGAAATCAATTCATAGCATGTCTATATCAGTAACCAGACCAGAAGTGTGATCCTTCTTTTGTAAAAAATAAGTACAACATATCAATGGCGTTGTTCAACACTGTCGTAAAGAGTCTGTCATCGATGTATTTATAAAATAGGAAGTTTGTATATATATTTGAACGTGATGGACTACGAAACCGCTCGTAAGATTGTAATGAAACTTTCAGGCATTATTATAAAAAAAAAGCATTATATAAGCATTATTCAAGGTTGGTTTGTGTGACGTTTGGTGCAGATCCGTCAAAAGGGCTCCGCCCCAGTGGCTTTAGAGTTTCCCATGTTAACCTTATGAGTACTTATATTTAAATGGAATTAAAGAATTTTAACAGCTGGTTCAACTAAAAAATTTGATTCTGTGATGTTCAATATCATTAAAAAGTTAATAGGTTTACCAAAAGGGTGCAGAACTATTTTTTTTTTATTTATGACAACAGCTAATATGCAACCAAAAGGTGAGTGAGCGTAGCGAACGAGCTAAACCTGAAGCACAGCGAACGAGCTCCAACCTAAAGGTGAGTAAGCGTAGCAAACTAACTTCAACCAGGACGTGATAGAGCGATGCGAACGACCTCATCTTGAAAATGAACGAGCATTTGACATAAAACCACATTAGGACAGGACGACGTCTGCCGGGCCAGCTAGTTTTTATGTTATATTGGATATAACATAAAAAGATTGTGAGTGAACACATCATGAATTTCTCAATAGGCAGTTACTGTGAAGCGGCCTCTTACTCGATAAAAATAGTATCACATGATAAAGCAGTTATCTCGTGATTTTGTTGACAGTTATCTTTGGAACTGTCATTTTTAACAGTATTACCTAGTCAGTCCACGATAAGTCCTTCCAATTATTATATCATCATAGCAAGGCCGCACTAGATATACCTAGTGAGGCCTTGATCATAGCTCTAAAATGGTACGGATGAAGATGATAGCAGAAAGGGGTGGAGAAGATACAACAATTAGCTGTTTTATTATGTAGGCATGTTTTCACGTATAATATGGGTAATTACTATTGGTTTTGTGTGCAACACCTTGTAAAAATAGGTAAATTAAAGTATCTCATTTTAGCACATACTTTTCAAACAATTTCCGAGGGTAGCGCCCAAACCCTTGGTAAGTGGAGACTTGCAAACACACAGAGCACGCAAAAGTCACCCTTGCACCCAAAAGTATTGACAGTCGGTGTAGACAAATTGTTTTCACTCGTACGGCATCTATCTCTCCTAGCTGTCTCGTGCGGACTATTTTACTTTTTGGTTGAAAATCCAGAGTGCAGAAAAAAGAATGAAGCAAAGTGAAAAGTGCAGAAATTAACTGAAAGTGTATAACAATCAGTGCAAAAATTGTCATAGTTTACTGCCCGTGTTTTATTTCTTTCTTTGTCGGAGTGAATCGCTATCAGTCGCTTGGTCCTCGTACCTCACGACTGTATTTGTTGAAGCAAGAACATTGACTTGCTATCTCATTGACTTTAGAGATAGCAATGGCAGTCATCGAACTGGCGTTGTACCCATAACGTAATTTACTATCACGCCTATAATACCCTCATATACCTTAAACATTGTAACGTCCGAATGCCATATAGTAGACTAAACATGACGTACTCACCTTAGAACTTTAATAATAATGGAACAACTATGGATAATACCTAATTGAAGAATGCCGTCCAATATGTCAGTGTACTATTTATTTAACATCAACGCATTCTATACTTACCACATACCGATCATGAAACGCACGTCCAAACCGATTTCATATTTTACTACGGTGTGAAAAGTCTTTTTAAGCTAATACACATAGCTATAATATCGGCTTCCTAGAGCCCATTGTAAATTTCCGCGAGCACATCGCAAAGCCCTAGACCAGCTATCATTGAATGGTAGACGCAAAACCTGTTTTAAATCACTATTGTATTGAGGCTCAGGTTCTTTTTCTTCGCTAACATTCCTCTTAGCTTGAGCCGGTCACGCCTGCTTGCATCTTGTCTCCAGTCTGCCGCCAGTCGGTAAAAAATGGCGGGAACTTCCAGGCCAGTTGTCAATGTGAATGTGAGGTGGTGATGGACTGCAGATTACGGATCATGACCTAACCTAGCCTAGCACTTTGCTGCTTCCCTGAGCACAAAACATGGTGTTCCGTATTCAAGCATCTACGCAACCTAGGTGAATCCAGACTTCATTCATATTTTGTTCTGACCCTTGCCCTGTCACGTGATGTCTGGCAATTCCCCCCATTCCTCATGTACTCTTCAACCCGGCATCATGTTCTCGCCATTTTCCCTAGTTTTGTATTATAATATTCCCCTACTCTATTTGTGGCATATAAATTGAACTTATATTATCGTATGTTTATCTTATGTATTTATTTGTGACACACCTAACAAAAAAGTGAACTGAATAGTTAAAAACTGTATTCAAACTGTTCTTGGTGCAACTACCGGTCGCGTACGCGAAAGCTGGCCAGCAAACATCAAGTGCGTCAACGGTCTACTAGACATCACTTCAGTAAAAAGGAAGGTACCAAATCACATTTCTTCCTATTTAAAAGTTTATTATTTTGTGCTCACAGTGTGTCTCTAAAGCTGATCTTAACATAATATATCTCACATCCCTCATTTTTTATACAGTCCACCATATCGAAGTTTACCCCCCATTCGCTGGTCCTGTCGACCCGGATTACATTTGCCAATTAAAATATAATTGCTACAGTACAATAATTTATTTCTCAAATGAATGTTTATGATCAGTGTCACATCCCTAACTGGTAATATTTTGTCTTGTGAAACATTATTACGAACAATTTTAATGTCCATTCCTGTTTCATACCAGACAATTATTTTCATGTTCAATTTTGTCACTGCCACCTAAATCACGTCAAGTTAGGCCTACCTAGTTTGTCTTGAAATAAATCAAGCTTAGAACATTTTTCAGGATTGAATATTTATTCACATCTCATCCATAAAATCCTTTTAAATAATAAGGTCTCACAATCAATTCAGCCTTATTATTTGGGTTTATAAATAAAACTGCAAAGTTAGTTAGTAGTTATTTCCCTGAAATATTCTGTCCCATTGTCCGCCATTTTGTAACAACGTTCTGTCCTTTGCGATACACCTTGGTAGTTGGTAGTTCTCAACTTCGCCAACAGATCGCTCTGCGCTACATGGCAACCAATAACCTACAAGATTAGTGAAACGGTGGAACTGAGGACGAACCAATCACCTGTCTGCTATTAAACTGAAAACTCAACTCATCAAAACTCTGTTCATCTACATCAGCTGTTTGTTTAAATATAACCCGATATTGAATTGAAACATATCAACATAACCTGCAAGTTTGTTTATGTTGTTGAAAAATGAAGACATTATTTATTTAATCAAATACTAATTGAAAAGGGTCCTGAACTGGAGAAAACTGGTAATTATTGTTATTGCTATGCTCTCTTTATTCATTATTGTAAATATTATTGTCAACAGAGATTATTGGTGATAATAACAAATTGATAATTGACTTCACTTTACTATTGAAGTTGAATTGCAAATTGATTTATGCACTTCAGTAGGCCTAGATTTATGAGATTATTATTAATTTAAGATTTTGGGCTATTTTATGAAAACTCATCTATTCTTGTTGTGTGTTATTTAATTTGTTTGTTCATGATGAGATTCACTACCCTACAAAGAAAAGCAAAACTTGTTAAAAACAGGTTTCAGAAAATAAATAAATATTTGTCAAACCAACTTCCTCGAACTGAAGGTCAAGAATTGACTCCTGCTAATATACAGCGTTTACACAATTATAATGAGGAGGTCAGAGATCTATTTACTGACTTTAAAACTTTATTTAATAGAGTTGTGACTGATGACCCTGCTTCTGATTGTGATGAGGAGGAATCATTTTCAATGCATGATGAACTTTCTGACTTGTATGTAGCCCTTATAAGTGACATTAAAGTTCTTTTGCCAGTTGAACCTGTTGTAACACCTACTCCACCTCCAGCTTCTCTGCGCCTGCCTAAATTTGAGTTGCCTAAATTTAGTGGTAACTATGAAGAGTGGGTTAGTTTCTATAATATTTTTGAAGCCTCTGTCAATGCGAATAATTCTGTCTCCCCAGTGAATAAGTTTCAGTATTTGCTTAGTGCCCTGAGTGGTGAGCCCTTAGACTTGGTTAAGAGTCTTAATATTACTCCTGAAAACTATGTGGTAGCCCTTCGACTTCTCAAGGATCGCTATGAAAACAAGAGACGTATTGTCACTCAGCTTGTTACAAAAATTCTGGATTTGTCGCCCATTACTAGTGGTTCGCTTAAGAGCTTACAATCATTTCTCACTGTATATAAGGAAAATACTCAAGCCTTGAAAAACTTAAATCATGACATTACAACTGAAAACACCCTGTTAGTCTTAACACTTTTAAAGAAGATCCCAGCTGATATTAGAAAATCTTTTGAAGACTCTCGCGCCTTAAACAACGAGATCCCTCTTGTTAATGATTTAATGACCTTTCTTGAAATGGAATTCAAACGTTTAGAAGGTGCTAGTATTTGTCTCAGTTCACCATCTACCTCAAAGTATTCCACTGGCCTAAAGTGTCCTACAAACATAACTAGGCCTAATAAGTTTACGCGTGAAAGTAAGCCACATTTCACCAACCATACAAAAACTGCTCTTGTCGCCACAACCAACTCTTGTAGATTTTGTCAAGCTGCAGATCACAACATATACAAGTGTCAAGCTTTCCTAGCTAGAAGTGTGAGTGAAAGATCTGAGTTTATTCGCAAGAATAGGATTTGTACAAACTGCCTCGGTTATCTTCATAACACACTCAACTGCCCCTCAAGTAAAGTGTGTCAGATTTGTTCCAAACATCACCATACTCTATTGCATGAGCCCACACGTAGTTCACTTCAGGCACAGTCAAGCTATCAAACTAAGCTGTCTCCTCAAAATAAGACCTACACACCTAATTCATCTTCAAAGAATACAACAACTATTAATCCTACTGCTTCTACAAACGTTAACGCTTTTGTAGGATTGTCTAGTCAACTCAATCCAACTAAAACCACAATCCTTCTTGGTACATGTTTAGTTCATGTCTCTTCACAACATGGTCAACATACTGTACTCCGTGCTGTGCTCGACTCCGCTGCCCAACTTACCCTTATATCAGAGAAAGCTATTCAACTCATCAACGCCCCACGTACTCGACTCCATGATGAAATAAAAGGAATCTCTGGTGCAGTTATTAATTCTAGAGGTATCGTACATGTCAACATGTCTGCGATCAATGGAAATCCTTTGGCTAAAAACCATCCTTGTATGGTTTTGAGTAGTATCACATCACCCCTGCCTCAGATACCAGTTTCACACCAGGTTAAGGAATCTTTGAAACATTTTATCCTAGCCGATCCCTGTTTCGATCAGCCTGGAGAGATAGATTTACTTATCGGTGCAGACTTATTTGCCCTAACCCTCACAGGCGAACAGCATAGATTAGGACAAAATTTACCTCAAGCTCTTGGAACCATTTTTGGTTTTGTTGTGATGGGCCTCGCTCCTGTAGCCTCTGTAGCAGGAAACTCATCAAACACATTTCCCATCTCACTCTTGACAACTCATGATTTGGACCTTCATAATTCACTTCAAAAATTCTGGACGCTAGAAGAACCCCCAATACGGATCAAGGCTCAGACTGAGGAAGATACCCTCTGTTTACAACATTTTGAAAACACCCATAGACGTGATGACTCAGGTCGTTACATAATCGAGCTGCCCAAGAGACCAAATCATTCCCCTCTTGGTGAATCTTGTACCAAAGCACAATTGAGACTTAGCTCGATGGAAAGGAAATTCTCTAATCAACCCGAGTTACAAAGGCTCTATTCTGAATTTATGGATGACTACATTGAATCAGGTCATATGACTATTTGTAAAGAACCTCCCACCTCTGAATACTATTATTTGCCTCACCACGGTGTCTTCAAGGAGAATCCCCCGAATTCAAAAATACGTGTTGTTTTTGACGGCAGCGCTAAAACTACTAATGGCATATCATTGAACGACATTCTCATGCCTGGTCCCAAACTTCAAAATGATATCAGTGATGTTTTATTGTATTTTAGATGTCATAAAATTGTATTCACCTGTGACATACGTCAAATGTATCGTCAGATCTTGGTTTCTGATAAGGACAAAAGTTATCAAATGATATACTGGCGCGCTAGTCCAGATGATCCACTCCAAACGTACAAACTCAATACAGTTACATATGGGCTTAATTGTTCCCCTTTTATTGCAATCAAAACCTTGCACCAGCTAGTTTTGGACGAAGGTCAACCATACCCACAAGCTTCTGATATCTTGACCAAGTCTATCTTCTATGATGATATTATAGCTGGAGCTGAAGATCTTGATAAAGCTATGTCAGCTCAAAATGAACTGAAAACATTGCTGTCTAAAGGCGGTTTTGAACTCCGTAAGTGGATCAGTAATGCACCCCAACTCTTGGATCAGATTCCAGTCGAACACAAAGAATCACCAGTGGAGTTGACTGATGGTAGTGAGGCCTTCTACAGTGTATTGGGTTTAAGATGGACCCCAGAGACAGACATGCTCTCATACAAAGTAAAGAATGTTGAAGTAGGCCACTTGCTAACCAAGAGAATGATTCTCTCAACAATCGCTAAACTCTATGATCTCCCAGGATTTCTCACACCTGTAATATTTTGGGCTAAAACACTCATTCAATATCTTTGGACCACAGGTCTAAAATGGGATGATCCAATTCAAGATGAGATAAGAACAAAATGGATTTCCTTTTTAGAAGAACTACCCGTGATCCAAAACCTAAGGATCCCACGTTACATCTTTACCTCAACTCATAAGCTTGCAGAACTTCATGGTTTCAGCGATGCTTCGGAGAAAGGATATGCTGCAGTAGTCTACCTCCGTGTGATCAACTTATCGAATGATGTTAAAATTAATCTGATAATGGCCAAATCTAAAGTCGCCCCACTAAAAAGAGTATCTCTGCCTCGTCTCGAACTGTGCGGTGCTCACCTACTTGGAAAGCTCCTGCAATACTGTTCAAATCTTCTTTCGTCCCACATTAAGATTGACTCGATGTATGCATGGTGTGACTCTACCATTGTTCTTACATGGATACGCACTCACCCCTATCGCTTAAAAGTTTATGTGGCCAACCGTGTCTCAGAACTACAAGAATTAATTTCTCCTGAATCATGGCATTACGTCAAGTCCCTAGACAACCCAGCAGATTGTGCAACCCGAGGACTCTCCCCATCTCAACTCTTAAGCCACCAATTGTGGTGGAAGGGACCTGAATGGTTATACTTGTCATCAGATCTTTGGCCAAAGCCCGAATTCAGTTTAATCACTGATCAAGACACTCTTGAAGTCAAACCAAATCCCTTGAATGTCCTAGTTAACGTTGAAAAGTTAGAAAATTACAGATTTGATTTACTTGAAAAATTCTCATGCTTTAGAAAACTTGTAAATGTCACTGCTTATGTTCTACGATTCATCCATAATATTTGTGGGAACGCCCGACTAGCTGGACAACTTAGTTATAAAGAGATCTCTTCTGCTAAAATGAATCTCTTCAAACTCATTCAAATTTCATCTTTCAAGGATGACATCACAGCTCTGAAAAAGGGCACTCAGTGCAGCTTAAGACTGGCTCGATTATCACCTTACATTGACGATAACGGTTTGGTAAGAGTAGGCGGTAGGTTGAAACATTCAAACCTTACTCAAGATGCCAAATACCCAATCCTGTTACCTAAATCTCATAATGTTGTAAAACTGTTGGTCATGCACTATCATCTCAAATATTTACATGCAGGCCCTCAGTTGCTGCAATCGATCCTCACTCAAGAAGTATGGATATTATCTGCTCGTAGTGTAATCAGATCTGTAATCTTTAAATGTCAAAGATGTTTTAAGTTGAAACCTACAAATCAACCTCCACTTATGGGAGACTTACCCGAAACTCGACTACGGCCTGTAAGACCATTCTATCATACTGGCATGGATTATAGCGGTCACTTTGAAGTGAAAGTACACACCACTAGGAATTCTCAAAAGCTTAAGTCATACCTCTGCCTATTTGTTTGCTTTACCACAAAAGCGGTGCACTTGGAAGTTGTAACTGATCTCTCAGTGGACTCATTCATTGCTGCTCTTAAAAGATTTGTTTCTCGTCGTGGACTTTGTGCTCACCTATACTCTGATTGTGGAACAAACTATGTCGGTGCCTCCAAGCAACTGAATAAGACCTTCCAGAATTTCATTGATGAAAGGAATACTCAAGATGCTCTCACTAACTTCGCCCTCGATCATTCAATTAATTTTCATTTCCAACCACCAGCCGCGCCTCACCAAGGAGGCCTTTGGGAGAGTGCCATAAAGAGCTCAAAGTACCATCTCAAGAGAGTAATTGGAGATCAAATTCTAACACTAATGGAGCTGATAACCCTTGTCACGCAGGTGGAGGCAGTATTGAACTCTCGTCCACTAACAGCTCTATCAGCAGATCCATCTGACATCACAGCACTCACCCCAGGTCATTTTCTCATCGGGACATCTCTTGTCGCAGTACCTGAAGTAAATGTATCCGATATTCCTGACAATCGACTAAAGCATTGGCAAACAGTTCAGGCTCTACATCAGCGCTTCTGGAGAAGGTGGCACCAAGAGTATTTGCACCAGCTTCAACAAAGGAAAAAGTGGATAAAGCCAAACAAGAATCTTGAAGTAGGCGATTTAGTCATTATCCATGACCCAAAAACACCACCACTTCTCTGGCCTCTTGGTCGCATTGTGAAGACATCACCTGGAGCAGATGGCATCGTTCGAGTTGTCTCCATCAAGACTTCGAGAGGAATCTTCTGTCGCCCTGCTACCAAGGTGTACCCGCTCCCCTAATCACAAAATATTTCTATTTAATGTCCTATTTCATGTTTATATTTATAATTGTCATATATATCATATCTTATAATTAGGTGTGTCATCATTATCTATTGTGTATATATATCTACATTGTATTACTTGTGCCCATTTATGAGTCAATGAATCAATTTATGAATCTGTTGAACCATGTATGGTTCAAGGCGGGCGGCATGTTCCGTATTCAAGCATCTACGCAACCTAGGTGAATCCAGACTTCATTCATATTTTGTTCTGACCCTTGCCCTGTCACGTGATGTCTGGCAATTCCCCCCATTCCTCATGTACTCTTCAACCCGGCATCATGTTCTCGCCATTTTCCCTAGTTTTGTATTATAATATTCCCCTACTCTATTTGTGGCATATAAATTGAACTTATATTATCGTATGTTTATCTTATGTATTTATTTGTGACACACCTAACAAAAAAGTGAACTGAATAGTTAAAAACTGTATTCAAACTGTTCTTGGTGCAACTACCGGTCGCGTACGCGAAAGCTGGCCAGCAAACATCAAGTGCGTCAACGGTCTACTAGACATCACTTCAGTAAAAAGGAAGGTACCAAATCACATTTCTTCCTATTTAAAAGTTTATTATTTTGTGCTCACAGTGTGTCTCTAAAGCTGATCTTAACATAATATATCTCACATCCCTCATTTTTTATACAGTCCACCATATCGAAGTTTACCCCCCACATGGCGTCCGTGTCGACAAGGTTATCTCTGGATCTGTGCCAATATTTGCATACTCTGTGCAACTACAGCACATCTGTGCTGCGTTGTTGTGATTTGTCCTACTTCAGAGTTGTTCCGCCCATTCAAAATGTTTCCAGCTGGTATTATTTTACTGTGGTGACATTAAGGTGCAGCCCATTCAGCGCGGCGCACACGTGAATGAAGTTTCATGGTGAAAAACTACCATGAATGAAGTTTTTCGGTTGTCTGAAACAGGAGGTAACTATCCTTGATCATTAGTTAAAAACAGTTAATCTTAGTCGGTTTATTAAAAGCACACAATATATCATCTCACTTCATTATAAGTCGAATTGCATTTTAATTCTAAAAATACCGAACCAAGTGTGCACAAGAATTGATTGGATGAAGGATGATGCTGGAATGGAATAAATGTAACTACATGTGAATTTTGCTACTGAGACAAGAAGCTTTTCAATAATCAAAGCCACAACGATCATGGTCAAACAAATCTATACCGCAAACAAAATCTACTAAGAACTAAATTATTTATTAGGTCTCCCTGTATATCTTTTGCACAGTTAAGAATACAACTGTATGCTTTATCTTCGTTGCTTCGTTTCCACATACACCAAGACTAATCATAAGTGAAATACAGAGCAGAATAAAATAACTCAACAAAGGTAAATTCAAGGAGCGCGTTCTATGAACATTCTAGGTGCACCGATACTTGTTCACAGGACGCGCCCATTGATATACGTAAACGTATGAAAGAACTAATTGTCCTCCGGTAACTATATGCCATTATTGCATAAACTTATAGAACAAATACCCCCTCGGCAGCAAACATGCAGACTAAGCAAATTTCCATTTGCTATACAATACATTATGATTATACATACAAATCAGCTGATTTTCCTCGTTTCTAGACCAAACACAGCCACGGATACGGTACGTTAGATATCAACCGGTAAGAAATATCAAAGGTGACCTTTTACAAGAGCAAACACATAACCTAAATGACCTTTTATACATCTAAAAAAATAACCTGTGTGTTACTATAAGTTAATTATGGTGGTAGGAAAAATCTTGGGTGTATTGCGAACACTTGCGATCTTAATACACAAAAAATAGTTATTTCCATCCTTATGGTTCAGCCGATTACACTACTTTAAAGTATGTGTCATGAGGGCGCTTTTTTGACCAAGCACAGACAGAGAGAGTATTTATACAGCCTATGTGATTTATATATTTACTGTAAAGCTTCTTTAGTATGTTTACAATAAACAAATATTTGGTCTTATATTGTACATACTGCAGTTATTGTTACTTGTTATTTAACCAACTAGTGTAGCTATACCGATACATCCATGAACTGCTGCTATACATCCGGCATTTTATTTAATCGTAGAATTAAAGCATTGATTTTAAAATCCATTTGTATTGTATAATCCACAAATTCAAAGCACAAAAAACAAAACTACACAAAACGTAGTTAATTTGTCACGGCACTCATAATATAATGAACACATTAACGAGTGGCTCAAAACAAACACCCTACGTACAGACAACTGACCTAGTTTTTGTGCCAGCTGAAAACTCTGTCAATAGACGCAGTGCATCGCCGCTGAGAATGGGGGTTTATTTTGGTCGTAGACTACAACGCGTCTGTCTAGTCTAGAATCAACCTACAATTGAACTCAACTTGTGAAAACTACCGCCTCGAGATATCCTTGAGTCCTACACGCTTCCTGTGTTAATGTCAGACCGGCGGGGAAATGGAAACATGGAATATCTTTAAGTTTTTTCAGCAGTTTCTGGTTTAGATTCGATTAATTTTCATATTCAAAATCTCTGTGTTAAAGTGGTATTCAATGTTTACGCATATATACGCGGCTAGCGGAATACCCGTGCCTCGCTACGGAAACTTTCAAATTGGTTGAAATTTTTAATTTGTTAGATATTCTCTGGTTAGTTGAGAAGTGCTCGCCTCCTAAACAGAAGACGCTGGTACAATCCATGTTTTAATAAAATAGCTCTATTGGATCAGCTGATATGTCACTAAAAAACTGTCATCTCATCCATTTTACCATAGATTAGAGGGTAGTCTACTCCTTTAATCTATGATGCGGCTAACCCAAGTCCAGTGTGTTGGAGCGTCTTATACATATAATCTTTCCGTAAGATATTACACCTTTCATCCTAACAGAGTCAAATCTAAACCCATTTATCAATTTCAATATCAATTAATCGGTCATCAGATAACGATCGTATCGAACTAAAATTCGACAACAAAGGTGTGGACCGTTTCCTTACGAAATGCCCATGACTTTAAAATACAATAAAAGACACACTAATTTCAAACCAAACACGACTATTGTGCAAACAAGTAAAATTAACAACTTAGTGTGAGAGATAGTGCACTTTACTAAAAGCTGTAAACAGATAAAACCGCCGTAAAATAGGATTAGCTCCTGAGTGAGAGTGAAAACACACTTAACAGCATCTTTATAATTTATCTCTCTGAAACACAATGAAGGTACTTCCATTACCTTGGTGGTCCAGATAAGATGAGATTAAAACTAATTTTAAACCTCTCTAAGCTAAAATCTAATAGCTATAAAAAATAACTAATACTGATAAATAACTAAACATCAATTAATTAAAAGTTCTGTAAGTTAAAAAGATCGCTTACTATGGTAAGCTGTCAATCGATCGCCCGGTGACCACAGTACATTCAAAACACAATCAAAGAACTAAAGACCTAACAGAAATTAGCATTATAGCATTTGCAATGGATAAGTGACAAAGAAAGGGTAAAGGTTTAAAGACGATGTTTACGCATTGTTCAAATCGTAAAAAAGTATTTAATAAATTTTAGTTAAGGAACTATTTTGTGCACACACGATTTTTGACACCACCACTACCACTGTATTAATACGGAGAACTGCGTTCATCACTTTAAAACATAATATTTATATATTCAAAATGTCAACAAAAAATCAACTACTTAAAACACAACCGTAGTAAGTTTTCCCGTCTAGAGTACAAATACCCCCGCCGCAGCAAACCTGCCGTCTAAGCGAATTTCCATTTGGCTGAATTGATTTTCAATCGAGCTATTTAAATAACATTAGGTTTAACAAGTACCTAGGTTTGCTGCTACAAGGAAACTGATAAAGTTTGTGTTTTAAGTAAAATAATTATTGCTTAGTAGAAAATGAATATATTTGCCAAGTTTGAACAAAAGATATCCATAAACAAGCAAACTACAACATTTTACGTTATTCTCCATAAGAATAACATGGGAATTTTAAATTTACAATTTTTTAGTTTTCTCCGTAACCAATAACCGTACAAAAACACTTTGATATACTGAACTGTTTGTTTTTTTAAGCTCTTTAAGAAGGTTTAGAGAAAAATTGGGAAATTTTGTGTCTTGAGGGTCAAAAGTGAGAAAAACCAATTTTTACCTCATAAAACCCCCCATAAAACCCTGTTCCCATGGTCCGATCATGCTGGATCGCGAACTCATTCAAGTTTATCCCGCCTTACACCTTCAAACCAAATTTCATCAAAATCGGATAAAAATTACTCAAGTTATCGTGTTCACGGACACATATATATATAAATCTATATATATATATATCTATATATATATATATATATACATATATAAAAATTTGAACGAATGGTGTTTTTGGCCTCTGGGGACATCAAAATGAAAAAGTAAATCGGTCCCGGGCCTAAGTCTTACCATGAGACCTACGGTAATAGCTACTTCCCTATAGGGAAATTCGCTAAAAAGTGTTGCCTATTAAAATTCCATACTGCTCTTGCTCTAGCAATTAAAATAAAATTCATATTAATCCAATTAATGAAATTATTACTATCTACTCGATGTATTACTATCTACTCGATGTAGATAGTATTAGTTCAATTGGTAATAAAAATGAATCTACTTTTTACACATTTCAACGTAGTAAATATGTTTGTCAATAATAGTTGTATTTATTGTATTTTAAGTTGGAGACTAATCTACTGTGAATCTGTCTAAGAAATGTTTGTAATAATCCCTAACCATTTTTAACAATAAGCATGAATAAAAGTAAAATATGAATAATTCTAGATACTATTGGTACATAAAACCAAGTTCAAGGTGGACCCAATAATTAGGTAATTATGTTTTTTTTATTTACTAAACCCTCAGGCAGGGCCTGTAAATGATAGTTCAAATTTGCAATACAATTAGGACAATAATTTAAATGATTGCGTCCATCTCAATCATAATTACTTATGCAGTGCTTTAATTGGTATAAAATATAGCCAACTAATATTTTATTTCACATTAAATAGTTATAAAAAAGTCAAATACCAATTGTAACCCATTAAACATTTTTTTTCAAACACAACATTTTGCAGGAAACATATTGAATGTTACTTACAGCCTTGAAAACAGCTCTTAACACGTGGCCGAAGAACTTGCGATCGGTAAAACACAAAAAAATGTCGCACCTTTATCAAAACTATCACTGTCTTTCAGGTGTGTGAGGTACACGAAAGTAATAATTCACCAAACAACGTGGGGCAAAGTTTAGGTTAGGGATGACGAAATAACCGACACCGACTGGCCGCGAGAGACGACGGCAAGGTGTTAGCGTAGAATGGCCTTTCGGTCTTTTCTTACCTAACCTTTGGCTTTACCGCGCGCCGACCGATTGGTGCGAACTCTCGCGCGCTTTGAGCTAACTACAACGCCGCCAGCTGGTCCTGCGCGCGCAACATCTTGTACTGTTGAACATATGGTTAGTTAGTACATGGTACATATTGTTGTGATGGATTTGAGACAATTACTGTTACAAGGGGACCCGTACGCAAATTGTAATAGTTTTTTACATAAAGTTATTAGTTGAACATAACTATTAAAATTTATTTTAAACGTTATTTGTTATTTTTAGATCTACACTTTAAAAAGTAATTAACCTACCTCAATCAATCATAGTTGTCAAAAAAGTAGTCTATTTCAAATACATTTCCATAAACTTTTTAATCTCTTGTTTACAATCTGACTGTGATCAAACATTCAACTGAAAAAACAGCAGTTAAACATACAATGGGCTCAATAATTAAATTAAACGTGAGGGGCAAGCCCTAAAGAAAATTGCCTTTTAATTACCATTTGCGGGCGCGCTAGATCATTAGCTTTAAAATGACACTTCAATAGTAAAAATCGGTTCTCTAGGACGGCTGGAAAAGGGGTGTAATATGGAAAACCCTAGTGTATTAAGTATATAGACTAGGGGTGCAATGCAATGCAGATGTCTGTTCGAAATATTCAGCGAGGAAAGCATTTCATCCAATACTTTTGGGAAATGTAACCACGAATCGATTGTCCCCAATTGGCTCGGGTATAATTGATTATGCCCTAATTAGTTACTCATTCTGTATTATACGGAATTTTATGGGGTAAAAATAGTTTTTCGCATTTTTTATCCCGAAAATAAGTAATTTATTTAGTCAAATACAATCACAACGTTAACCGAGGTCAAAATAAACCAAAACACAAAATTTCTTATTTAGTAACATCTGTAAAACTATTTTCAGGTTGAATCTAGTCCTTCAATCTAACAGCCAAAAATTCTAGAGGCTCTAGTAAGCCTGCTTGTGAGCTCTCTTCACAAGCCTGGTGATAGTGTTGGGGGATGGGAATGATTAGTGTTTCGAAGAGAAAATACTTTTGACAAGAAGAAACATCAAACATGTCAAGATTCTTTTTCACAAACGACAGCAAGTCTCCAAAGTACAAAGAAAGAAAATGTTAAAATCGTGTATTGACTAAAGATTTCTCTAAAAGATTGTTTTTTTTTAGATGGAGAAGATAACTCTAAGAGCCATCTAAGGAATATAAATTAAATGTTGCAATTACTTTCCAATAGTTTTTTGTGCCACTAGTGGAGCACTTTGCGTTCACGTTACACATTGTATTTTTCCTATAGTTACTATAAAGAAAAAGCACATAAATAATTAGTCTTTCAAACACTAAACAACATAGGTTTGTTAAATCCAAGTGTTGAACGAAAAAAGTACGTTAGAGCGGCAAAAAGCTACGTTGTGCGCTATAACATAGATAAAACATGGCTATAATCAGTGCAATGAAGCCCACTTTGTCAGGTAGGCCCATTTAGAGCCTTAAAAAATAATTAATTTCGTATACTGTTGGGTTGCTGAATGCTTAACGGTTACGGAAAAATAATAACTAAACTTTAAATTTAAGAATTCCATGTCATTGATGTGGAGGATAAATAACCTTTTTAGTTTGCTTGTTTATGGGTTTATTTTGATTGAATTCAGTAAATGTGTTTATTTTATTTCATACTAAGCTATCTCCATTTCATTTAAAAACATGCCTTGTTACCTACCCTCCCTGTTGCAGCAAACCTAAGTACTCGATAAATTAACGTTATTTAAAAAGGAAATAAATCTGACAATTTTAAGAGAATATTTTTAGTGGAAATCCAGCCAGATAAATGGAAATTCGCTTAGTCTGCAGGTACGCTGTGCCGGTTTTTTTATCTTGCTAAGCCATCATGGTGACCAATCAACCATTAAGGCCCATGTCAAATTTGTAAACTTTAAATTCACGGAGGAAAAATCCCTGCAGTCCGATTTGTATTGCTACAGATTTATATTTTCCCACATTTGGTTACTATGACTATTGACTATAGATGAACGAATTTTAAAATTATCTATACTAACAGCCAGCGTCACTTCGTGACTTCAAAATGCGTGATATAGCCTATTTGAATAATTGACAATTTTTTTATTGAATTTTAAAATTTTATTTTTAACGTAATAAGCATTAAATTATCACTAACTTGTACTTTATTCAAGCAACCCCTGAACATAGCTTTGTAAGTCGTTTCTCGAATACAATATTAAATCGTGTATAAAAAACTGAATACGTCTCAAATATAAAGAATCATAAAAACTACATACCTCATCCATTAGTCCAAGCTTAAAAAGAGGGGGTTGACAGGTTATAACTGAATTGTCCATGGCTAAGGGCAGTTGATAAGGGTTAATTTTCATCATATCCCTTTGTATTGCGCCTATTATTGTGTTGTACCTATTATTTTAATTGTGTATGCGACCTCTTCGAGGCATATTAGAAAAAATACAAATACCCCAATGAAACATACTATGAAAACAAAATCTAACGTAAGTTGTTTTCTTCTTTACATTTAAAACAAATAACATTACAGCATTTTACTTGAATTCACTAAAACACTAACAAAAAAAAAACTTTGAAAACACAAAATCCTATCAAAACACGAAATCTAATGAAAGTAATTTTCTTCTTTACATTGTATACGAATTACATTATAATATTTTACTTGAATTCAATAAAATATCGCAAAAGGCAAAACAAATCTTTTAACATAGACTTTCTTTTAACGTAGAAGGATAAGTTCATCTTTATATGACTGTGCTAAATACGGCTTCAGCCGTTCAGGAGGAGTATTTGGAAAACTAAAGCAGGTCTGAAGTTTAAGAGCTTCGCTTGTTCCACTCAGCAAGTAGGGGTTATTAAACCTTTTATTGATTCCATTTCCATAGTAAAAAATGTAACATTGACTATGAACAGTGCAAGTAGAATTCTCAATGTACAACCTGACGATGGTTTTTGTCTATGTTTTTCGAATTCACACGGACACATCTTATACAGTGTGATTGAAAAGTCCCGGAACGGTGTAAAGTAAGTTTTACCATGCTCGATAAACTAATGAGAGCTTCGGTCCACGAAGAGCCAGACAAAATTCTGAAATAGCAGCAAAGGTCGAATTTGGTATAGAATTAAGGGTAAGTTAAGTAGAATTAGAATACATTACCGCAACCCCGAACTCGGTCTTGGACGACCGAAATCGTTGAGTGGGTGAGAGCCTATGCTCAGCAAAATATGGTCATGATTTACGATTTCACCATGGCTGCGGAACATGTTCACTATTTTGCCATTACTGCAGAAAATGTTGAGTGTTCACTAATTCACCATGACTGCTGAAGATGTTCTAGATTTCGCATACAGACGATGTTCATGATGCTGCAACAGTCGGGTTATTCCAACGATCACATACATGGGTTATTCATGCACTGACTGATTTTCATGAGCGTTAACGCTAGGAAACACACGCTAGATGTTGAACAATTCCAAATTTATCTTAAACCCATATTACAACAAAATTGTACCAAAATTAGGTTTTCCTCTGTGGTGAAGTTTCTAGATTCACGCATACTTCAGGTCCACCCGGAATTCCTCCAACAACATCCCATTACATTGCTTATGTCTATCTCTACATTTGGGGAGCGAGCTGGTCTAGTGGTTAGAGCGCGGGACTCCAGTCCCTGAGGTCCCGGGTTCGAATCCCGCCAATCACCAATGGATTTTATCTAAGTGATAATGCCGCAACCTCTGAAGTAATGTGAAAAACAATTCCAGGCTCGTGCCTAGCCCTAGCGTCTTAGGACAAAAGAAAATACTATATATACAGTACAAGTCCTACCATAGAAACCAAGCAGGGTTGTTTTAGTATCCAGTAAACTGTGTTCACATTTAGAATTTTGCTATACAAATCAGGAGTAAATTAAAAACGTTTACCTCTTACATAATATATTTATTAGACAATATGAAATTTATACATGTAGCTAATACTGTATCTGAAATCACCCAACCACCAGCAACCATCTTGCTACAAATGACTTGTTCATTTTTTACCCTTTTTTCCTTTACCTTTTCCTTTATCCTTTCCTTTCCCTTTGCCCTTACCTTTATCCTTGCTTTTGATGCTTTTCTTTGACGTTTTTGGGATGTCTGACTCGAGATATTGAGTGTCCTTGTCACTTGCGGGAGGTTTTGGTTCTTTCATTTTTGGAGTTCGCAATTCGAGCTCTAAATTTCTCTTTTTGTCCCCTTCACACTTTTTGCCTATTTTGAGGAGGAAAACATCGTGGCCTTCGTCTACGGGTAGCCCTGACACAGGACCAACAGCTGCCTTGGTCGCCATCCCGGGGATGTCATCTGACTTAACATTTACAGTGTTTTTCTGCATACCGTCTCTAGTTTCTTCTGCGGATGTTAACTTATAATACACTTGCGAATCTAGTTGTTGATCTCTTTCCGACAGAGGGTCACCAGGTTTCTTCAAAGGAAGCTGAAATATAACTTGATCGTCTTGCATGCCAACTTCTCCTGGAGCTAGAATCATGTTTCTATCAGTCTTTTGGGAATAATTCGCCTTGGATGCGGGAGACACGGGGTATGGACACTCGCAAAGTATTTCTCTTCCTATTCTAGTCGGAGGCTGGATTACTCTTGGATCGTAAGCACCAAGTTGGCTTTGCTCCCATGGAGTAAGCGGCCTCGGAGAACTAGATTTATTTGGATTTTGGTAGCATCGCATCGGATCTCCAGGCTGGGTGATATTTTGGCTATATGTTGGATTTGGCGGTTTCAGCCGTGGATCAAAAGTCTCTACTTGGCTTTGCTCCCATGGAGTAAGCGGCCTCGGAGGACTAGATTTATTTGGATTTTGGTAGCATCGCATCGGATCTCCAGGCTGGGTGATATTTTGGCTATATGTTGGATTTGGCGGTTTCAGCCGTGGATCAAAAGTCTCTACTTGGCTTTGCTCCCAAGTCACCTGGGGTCTGCTTGTTTGCGGCCATGATGACTTTGGGTAGCAATGCAGTGGATCCCCTGGCTGAGGGACAGATCTAGTACTGCTTGGTCCTGATTGAGGGTAATAAGCTTCTGCCTGTCTTTGCTCCCATGGCGAAAATGGCTCGATAGGTGGTTTACGTAGTGGGTTCCCAGGTATTGTGGAACATTGTGGGCGATTTTGAGCCGCAGGCACATAATGAGGTTTTTCTACCGGTAATTCTTCTTTACAAGCAGCTTTTAAGTCAGTGCCTTTGAAAAGGTAAGACTTTTCAGTTTCTTTATTCAAACTAAACTGAGTTACAATAATCTTCCCGAAACACGAAAGCCTTAAAAATGCTGTTATACTACCAACTTTTCTTCCAGACTCGTCTTTTATATCAAATGTCCCTTTTTTAATTTTGGACAAAGATGATGTGTCACTGTTTTCATCCGTGTTTTGTTTTAGAAGTTCCGTAAAACTATCTCCTATGTCTACAGTTGTTTTCCCCAACTCCAGCTTATCAGGGAGAACCCCCTCCTTCATTTTCCGAATGACACTCACCTTAACCTCGAAGGGGACTGGAAGAATTGGTCCTTGTGGCGTCTTCAAAGAAAAAAAACAGGACTTTCCACTCTTGAATGTAATGTGACTGGTGTCTTTATTACTGACAGAGGTTCCAATGAAGTCACTTTCACAGACAACCAAGGGAGGATAGTGAAGGAACTGGAACATCACACATGTGTCCGCCATGTTTGACGCCAAATCCTTATTAAGGTTTGGGCTGGAACTATCGGTTTGTATAAGCAGGTTATCCACCAATACCTCCAGTAAAAACAGCTTTTCAGCGTCATTCTGCATTGCATCCCCCATTTCAAAATGTAATAATTAATATTCTTCCCAGATAAAACTTGATTTTCTTGTTTGGGTTGTTGAAATGAGGTGTCGTAATAGTTTTAGGACAATAGTTTTAGGACAATGCACTTTTGATTTGTAAAAAAATACTAAAATTTACAATGTTCTAAGCTAAATAATTAGGAACACTTCAGTAAACAAAATATTTAGTCTTTAAATACGTTACCATATGGTTTTCAAGAAACAAAAAGTCATAAGGGAAAAATTCTTAACCTTATTTAATGTAAATTCTAAGCATATTGATAACAAGTGTGAAATCGTTCAGGAAATATATTTAATCGTTATACATTTAACTTCCAACTGTTTTCAATTTATCCTAAGGATATCATCGTAATCGTCATAAAGTCAACGACTTACAAGAGATTGTTTATGATAATTTATAAATCAAAGTTTGGTTGTCGTTGTCGTTAAAATAATCAATGTCATAAACAAAACTCATAATCAAAAGAAAGTTCTAAAATAACTATGAAACCCAATACTCTGGCAGCTATGAAAATAGAGAAAGTTTGTGCATTTTTATTTATAAAATAAGGAAAATTTAGTACAGAAACCCTATCAGAAGATATATAGACATTGTTTTTTTTTTTTTTTAATGTATGTGGTATTCTAAGTATTCTAAGTTTTTTTTTCTTTCAAGAATTCAGTGTGAAAATGTTTTGACCTCAGGATTGCCACAGTAGGGTACCAATTACAGTAGAATAATAACCAGTGCAATCGGATTCCTTACTACGCCAATTAATCTGTTATACTGTAAAGTATGATCGTTGGGTGATTATAAATTAATGATATGTACTGTATATACTTCCACAGCATAAGTCCACAGCAGCAGTTAGTTGCAGCATTGACTATATAACACTAGTGTTATATAGTCATAGTCAATGGTTGCAGTCTGGAAATTAGGTGGTACCAAGCGCCGGTTTCTGACTGAAAGCATAGATAAAACATACTCCTCAAGGAACTCCTTGGGGAGTATGTTTTATCTATGCTGTAAGCAAGCTTCTCGCAGCGTGCGTCAATACATTATAGTTGATCGCACAGCTGCTGTAAAAACATGACAAACTATTTGTTTCTATAAATAAAATTCTGATTTAGGTATTTTTTTGCAGGAAGAATAGTCATTGTCCCACGAAAATGATTGAACTGTGTCGTGACGACTCACCTTGCAATGCAAGTAGCAAGTCATACCCACTGAATAAACTAATAAACTCCCCAACGGGCCACTTGGATTCAAGCCCGAACGCTTTTGCATGACTACCCGACTACCCTCACGCTGGCCGCGTGTCTCATGCCCTGACTGGTCCATATACTTTAACCTAATGAGATCACCAAGGCAATCCTCGACTTGCCTTATAGGAAGTACTTCTTGGACATATGAAGCAACTGCCTCACCCACTTTAACCCCGCCTTTGAGGATGACACCCACGACAGAATCTGGCGTAAACACCTTCACCATGGATAACGTTCTAAAGAAAGTAGCCTTGACCCATACCAGGAACCATTGACTATAGCCTACCTATATAGTCAATGCCAGGAACTAACACAAATAGATCTCTCCTTTAACACGGCCCACCCAAGATTGAATTTCCATCACAAAATATTGCCAGAGAGCAAGAACCTTTAATTATCTCCATTACAAAATATTATATTGTTCGATCCGATTTGACCACCTACTCGTATAATATTAGTTTTTGATTCTATCTTTGATACTGTTAAACCCGGAATCAATCCAGAAAATTTTCCCGGAGGCAAGTTTTGGAGTGGGGAAATATATCTGACCTTTGCTAAGCCACTCATGACACGCACCCATAGACTTAGTGTCCTACAACTTTTTGTTCTATGTGTCGTGTTGATTTTCAACTGTGTAGAGTAACGCAATGCTCGCACTTTCTGATTTCATAAAGTACCGTACGTCAACAGCAAAGAAAATAAACGGTATCAGCATTCTGACACATACTTTCTCCCATAAGTTTGTCAACAACCTTTATCATGTGTAAGCGGTGAGAGTAAATATACGGAAATGGGATTTGTAAAATTTTGTTCAGAATTTAAAGGACTATAACATACTAAATTTTATCAAAATCGTTCGGGCCATTTTTGGGAAAATCCAATTTTTCTGTTATTTTATGGGGGTTTTATGGGAAAATTACATAATTTACAATAACTTTTGAACCGTAATTTTTACAGAGATGGGATTTGTACCATTTTGTTCCGAATATAAAGGACTATAACATACTAAATTTTTATCAAAATCGTTCGGGCCATTTTTGGGAAAATCCTATTTTTCCGTTATTTTATGGGGTTTTATGGGGAAATCCCCATTAAAAATAAAAATTTCTAAAAATAAAAAAAACTATCCAAATTGTAAGGATCATAACATACTATGATAAATCAAAACCGGATTTTTTTCTAAAATCCTATTTTTCGTTATTTTATGGGGTTTTTATGGGAAAATAACATATTTGACCATAACTTTTGAACCGTAATTTTTACAGAAATGGGATTTGTACCATTTTATTCAGAATTTAAAGGGCTACAACATACTATCAAAATCGTTCGGGCCATTTTTGATAAAATCCAATTTTTCCGGTTTTTTATGGGTTTTTATGAGAAAATCCCCATAAAAAAATCAAAATTTCAAAAAAATGAAAAAAACACCTGGAGATACCATGGATTAGAACCTACATACCAAATTTCATCGAAATCGGACCACAGGTGTAGTCTCTAGCTCTGTACACATCCAGACACACACACACACACACCAATAAAATAAACCAGGGGGACCCAAAACGAATATATCCACTCAAAACTCAAACTCGAAAATTTTGACGAAAACAATACTTTCTCCATATACTATGGTATAGGGGGAGAAAGTAAAAATTGTTTTTTATTCTTCTTTAAAATAAAACAAGAAAAAAATAAAACAATTTTTTGGGTGGGAAACGTAAATAATTGTTAGCGTAACACATGCGGTTTGAAGAGCGATGCAAAGAACTTGTCAAAAGTTAGACTATCCAGCTTAGTTTTTTTACCCTAAATAGTCAGCATTTTGGAAGATGAATGAATATTATAATTCTATCTGTATAATAATTTATATTTTAAATTTATCTTTATACATTATACAATGTATTATACAATTATTACAATTATTAATGTATTATACAATGTATTATACAATTTATACAATTATACATGTGTATAAATTTTACGTAAGTTATTTTGAAAATTGTAGACTACCAATTTAATAAAGTTAAATAGAACCTTTTGTACTTTTGTGTCAAATTATTTTATTGGTGATTAAATTTGATTTGATTTTAAGTTCTTAAATACTTGTATTTTATTTAAAAACCAAAATAAACTGTTATAAACTATAACCTATTAACAACCATATTCATTGCTAAATGTTGTACAAGATAAATTGGTCATGAATCTAATAACAAACACAATATTAATACTAATCATGGAACTATTGATCACATTTCTTAGATGACTAACTTACCAACATAAAATTATTGTGTTTCTGTCTGTTGTCAATAATTCTTAGTTTCATTAACTTTCTGCCTAAATTTAAATAAATTTTACTCATAATTTTTTTTTATTTGAAGTGCTTTTGACAGTTAAAATAAGCTTAAACCCCTCTTTTTTGTTTGAAAACTGCAACATTTCCCGGGGGGGGTACCCCCGGACCCCCCTTGTTTGCTGAGCTTCCCCCCGGTGTTTGCCCCTCCAAGGATTTGGTGAAATGACGCCACTGGGTGTGAATGAAGAAATTTAGAGTATTGTATAAAATATAACTGTAAGCATATTACCATGGATAAAACGTAGTTCCGTTCCAAGCGACTATGTTTTATCTATGATATTTACTATGTTAGGGTAATTAGTCTTGGATTCGGGCCGGCCACGTCATTTGCTTATGTTTGTTTATGATCCAGATTCATACCGCTATCAGTTCTATAGTACTCCATCATCGATCACTTTTGTGGTTGTGGTTAAACAAGGTGGGTCGACGGTCGATAAAAGTCCCATGACACTAAAATTCGGGTCTGACTTAGGGGAGGTACGATTGAGTCATTAGTTCAAAATTCCTCCGTGAACAGCGCTGTAGTAGAGAGTATTTTGGCAATGGTTTACTAATCGCAAAAATAGTTCTGTTCATAAAATTAAATTATAAATGCCTCAAATTCAATTTTATATTTTTTTATTATAAAATTACTATCATAACCTAACCGAACTAACCAATCTTGCTGATAGTGAAATAATATAAAAAAAGTTTATTAATAGAAAATATAATTCTGTTCATTAAATAAAACTAGAAATTGCTCAATTAAAATTGTATAGTGACTTAATAATAAAATTTAACTGTCATAACCGAACCAAACCAACCAAACTTACTGATAATGAAAAAATCTTTGTCAAAAAGTTAGTGCCCCCAGCGAGATTCGAACCCGGGACTCTCAGCATATCAACACGGCACGCTAAATATTAGACCACCGAGGCCGATGTCTGCAAACCGTATTGTTACGGTAATACAGTAGTGTTCCCTCAGCTAATGAGAAGCCCACAGCTGTCATCGTAAGCTCATCTATACCTCCCCTGAGTAAATACCCTAAAATTCTCTGACTGGGTCGCTACCATTACCATACTCATACTGTTGTATGTAGTAGATGCGTAGAAATGCTACGGTGATGGTGGCAAAGTTATAGCTAAGGGAGTATGTTTTATCATTGACTATATAACACTACTATTGTGTTATATATAGTGTGTTATATAGTGTTATTAGTGTTATATAGTAGTGTTATATATATTGTGTTATATAGTCAATGGTTTTATCTATGGTTATAGGCAAGAAAGTAAACAATGTTTTATGCATAACTAAATCGGAAGTACCAACTAACATTATTATTAAAATCACATAGGCTAGCGTTGTCATTATTATTAATAAGTTACATAGTTTTTTATAACCATTGGCTAGCTCAATAATCTAATTTAAAAAATGTTGCTTCATTGTTGGCTTCCCTGCTTTTCAGCTGAGCTGACTCACCTACTGTCATTATACTAAAACTAAATAAATAATAAAAAAACCTTATTTTGTTTGAGTTTTGATCGTCAATTGTCAAGTCATCATAAACTAAAAGTCGATATTTTCTATTTTTGTTTTGTGTATATTATTTTTAAAAATAAACACCTGAGTCACACACATTCTCAAGGTATGAAAACATTATGAATTTCACTCATTACAATGGGGTCTACCATTAATCAGCGTTTGTAGGCCTAAACCTTATTGTAAATTAGTGATGTAATACAGGCCTCCTCAGAGGAAACATTGACGGCTTCAAATGTTTATTTGATGGATGTACCTGTTTTTCAAATGTATAGATTTACAGGTTAAACAATATCATAAGTTATTGATTTACAAAATAATTTGATCCCCAAGCCCAATTTTATGAATACACTTCATTCTCGTGGGTCTATGATTTGACTAGGTAGCCTAGATGATCGTTGGCTCATTCAGGGATGGCACTGCAACTGCATGGTACATAAGCCTAAAAATAATGTCAGTTAATGTTAATGTATAAAATAAATGTAGGAGGTAAACTAAAGTGCAACCAAGATAACTTCCAGAGCTGTGGAATAGATACCTAACTTAAAATAAGTATTTTAATGATCAAAACCATTAGTCCTTTAGCCGATGGGGCTAAAGGTTTTATAACACTTTTAATAAATACACCTTAAGCTACAGGAATTTTCCCTAGAATGTGGAAACAAAGTATGCCTAACGTCCATGCATTGCCTAAGAAGGAGAATCCTTCTAATTTGAATGATGCTTCTAATTTGATTAGGCTAATTTCAGTCCTGCCAGCTCTGTCGAAAAGATAAATGTTCAACTAATTACCGATTTCATTGATGAAGAATATTTATTGCCTGAATTTAATCCGATAATATAATTTTACTTATTGTGTAGTTTTTCTTCGGAACTGTACAGACGGAGTGCTGATCACAGACGCGGATATTTTTATTGCTAGTGTGGCATACTCTTATCAGTCTCGCCGGTTAGCCAGGGAAACATGTCTAGTAAGTTAATACGAGTGTGTCCACGGTCAAACTATTCCACGTGCATCGCACGTGAAAATGGAAAAACCAATCTCACTGATTAAAAATTACAAGTGTGGCCCCGGCCTAATACAGTAACAGAGGTCTAACGTGTTTGAATTAATTAAGTTAATTAACAGAGAAAAATAAGAAATTAGGCTACCTTAGGGCCTACATGTTAATACTAAAAGTTAATACTATATGTACAGTATCTAGTTATTTGCGGTTTTAGTTCCAAAGAGTACCTAATTCAATTTTATATTATTTGATCAAATATCAATATTAGTCCGAAGAATCATCCCGTTATAAAGATTACTGGAGTTGTTACAAATGTTTTCAATATTCTAAGCTAGCTGTATTTTAAAACTCAAAAAAAAAATTTTTTTAGAAAAGTAGAATGATTATTTGATAACAAATTATAATTAATTTAGTAAATTTATAGGAACTCTTATTATTTTGATTTCATGTTCAATGCGGTTTTTAACACATTGTTCACTCAGTGCAGCTTAAACAATAATCTTGGTAGGCTATCAAACTTAGGTGGTGAACTAAAATAAAAAAATCGTAAATATTGTTATTCTTGTTACAGGTATTAAAAATTTGAAAAAAATGTTACCATCAGAAGAAGAGAAGTTGAGGAAATGGCTTCGCTCAACTCCGGTAAATTTCATATTATATAAAATATTTGTCTAGAGGCTTAATGATAAAGCGAACAGGTTTTTGCTTAAAATAAGTGGGCTTGCAAAAGACAAATTAGTTCACAAAATAAGTATAAATAACTTAGATAGCTAATTGTTGTGGTATACTAGTTCTTTTTTTCTGAAAATAGCAATTATTAATTAGCTATTTGTGTAGTATTAATCACTTTTGACTTTTTGAGTTTTTCAATTTTTTAAGCCGCATTTACACCGGAGTTTGGAACTAAATGTTTGGAACTTTTTGTTGGTAACACTTATTTCTAATGCAAAAGTCTACAACAGATTGTGCATTTCTTTTTAATTTTGTTGGAAACAAATCAATCCGGTAGCGAAGAAGTGTTCCAAAACAAATGTTTCCTCATGTTTGGAACACTCTTTGACCTTTACCGACTTCTGGTGAGAAACAAAATTTCTTTTATAACCCTCGAGACATCAATATAATACATCAATATAAATATGACATCCTTTTAATGTATGGACAAGTAAGTGTCCATAGTTTAGGCCTTAATGTCCACCTATTTTTGGCGCATTTGCAAGGTTTTATTAAAACGGATCTGAGAAGCTTAAAACAATGTTAATTCTAATGTTCTATATACCATTTTGTTTGGAAAATCATGGGCTTCAATATTATATATAAAACATAAGGAACATTAAAAAAAAAAAAAAAATTTTAGGTAAAAAAAAATATAATTTCAAAAATTTTCAAAAAAAAAATAAGTTCGCGCTCAATGAAATTGTATAAATTATAGGCCTATAAATATTTGAAAATAGCCACTTTGTTCTAAATTTTATGAGGATTACAAATATATAATAATATAAGGAAGTATATTTGCAAATAAATAAGTTATGGGCAAAAAACTGATTTCAGTAGGCCTACATAGCGTTTAGCTAAGAATGCATAGCCTAACCATAGCTAGGAATCTGGCTGATAATTTTCATCAATATCACTACCTACTTCTTCAGGATCATCAACCAGCACTTCAAAACCACTTAAATCTTCTTATAATGCACCACGTATATCACTACTTTTGATTTTTAACACTAAAACAATGATAAACGTAATAAAACACATCAGTCATCGGTCCGGGGGAACCTAGCTGTTTACAAATACACGCACGTCAGCTGTCTGCTACAATATTTTCGGAACTAAAATGAATAGCGCTTAGAGACAGACCTCTGGAGAAAGCTTAGAATATTACGGAAAGAACGATACCTAACTCGATCCAGTTCAATCCGATTCAGTCAGTCATAGAGCCTTCGCGTCGAAAAATCGACAAGTAACACTACACAAAGTGTGCTGCTTGTCGAATTTTCGTCAAGTAACACTGGGAGGGATAAACACTAAAAACTGTTTCATCAATTAGTTATAAACACGTGTTCCTAACTCTGGTGTAAACACATCTTTAAACTCACCAAATGAATCTCAAAACCAAAACTTTCCAAATTTTCAGTGGTTTCATAACATCTTTAGTAGGCCAAGATATATTGTTGAAAAATAAAACAAGGCAGACTACCAAGACCTCGTCTAAACACTGTAATTATTTATTAGCAAAGGTTTTCATGAATATAACTTCTACAATGCCAACAACTTCTTCAAGTGAAACAACTTAAAAAATCAAAAAGCTCACAAGTTTAAATACAAAATGTTGGCTTGAAACACCTAACCTCTAAGTTAAACTTGCGTACAATAGCACCAAATGTTCAGCTCCTTGAAGTTGTAGTTGATAGCATATGTAAAACTCAGATAACTTATCATTCCACTCCACTGATTCCTTTTTGTTACATTGTCCAACTGTAGTGTTTAGTGTAACATGTACTATATCTGTGACTTGAGGTACCTATTCAATACTATAAATTAGTAAAATTTGAAAATTGTCTCGCTTTATTTAAAATGAGCTCTTTTAAAAAAAGCTCAAGCAAATGTCATTTTGGCAAGAAAGAATATGATTGGTACAAGACATTTACTAAGTCTGTGAGTAATTTTTAATTTTCTTTTTAAAATAACAATCTTAATTAATAACTTTCTAAATTTTGTATTCGGGTTTAAAACGAAGTCTGCGACATAAAAATCCATTTGATATTAATTAATAAATAATCCAAGATATAATCTGAGCTTGGATTTAGTCAGATTACTAGTAGGCATACAGTCTACTCTTTGGTAGGTCAAACATTCAATAAATAAAAATTTTGATAGCCTAATTCAAAATAAAAGCTCAGGGTGTAGAGAATCTCTTAATATTTCAAAGTTTTACCATACATTTTTAGACACTTTGTAGGCCTATTTCAAAGTCCAAACAGAGGGTGGATTTGAAGGTACAGAGGTGGAGTTGGACAGGGGGGGGGGGTTTGGAACACTTAGTAGGCTAATTCAAAATTTTGTCGGCAAAAAATTATATGACGTCTTAAATAATGTCATTGTTGCCACAAGAACCTTGATGACACAATAATCAAAAGCAGAAAGAAAACAAAATTAACAAATTTGTTTGTAACTAGCTATAAAATGCTTTCGTCTATTGCAAAGTAACTCCATTGGTAACTCAAATAAGCTGTTTAATTGTTGTGTTCTGTACCTTAAAAATAGCACAGTAGTTTATTAAAAAATCAACTCTCTGTAATTAGTTTAGCCTAGTTTTATTTCTCTCCCTATAAATTTGAACTTCTAGAAAATTTAAATTTATTTGCTTGGCCCGCCATTTTCGAATTATTAAGAGTCTACTGTATCCTGAAAATAGATGTTCGTATTTTAAATAGACACCAATTTAGAAATATAAAGATTGCTACAGGTTTTAGTAAATGCTTTTGTTCAACAGTACTTGAACCAAGAAAGGACATTCCAAGATATTACTCGAACTGTCAGCATCTACAGGGGTCTGGCGATTAAGGTTGAATCTTATGGCAAGTATTAGAAAACCTCCATTTTTTTAGTGATTCTTTTTATCATATATGAACTGTCCCAAGTGCACTATGCTGTGGCTGATAGGCTATCTGAAAAGATTAAGTTATCTAATGTTTATCATCTTAGGGCGTAAAAAAATAAAATAACTTATTGGCCTCCTATTACTTTTCTTTTATTCAAAGACATTATAAATAACATACTAAAAAAAAAGACATAACCCAAAATTACTGAATCATTATGTTAAGATAATTTAACAAATTGAAGTGAATGCCAAACCTGGAATGTGTATCGTTTTGTTTTCAAATTGTACTTTACATGAAAAAATGTACAGTATAATCAGAGATTCAATTTCGAATGTATACAGGGAAATTCTCTATACCAGCTGGATATATAGAATTTTATGCTTGAAAAAGGCTACCAATAGTACATTATAGGGCAAGTTTACAAGAGAGTGTAAACTGTCTTGTAGCTACTAACGTACTCTAGCCTGCTTTTATCACACATCTCATAAACTAGCCTAGTTTACTTGCCACCATAACCTCCTCTAATACAAGACCTCGACGTTGGTCTGTGGCAACGTCGCAACATCATGCCTATTGTCATGGTAATAATAATAAATGAATAACGTAACAAACTTGTAAACATAAACATTGTGCATGCGCTCCATTATAAATTAGTGCAACAGTTGTTTCAGTATGCCCGGTCCGCGGCGTTGCCACTTTAGTCTCGCCGCGGCCTTGTATTAGAGGAGGCTATGACACCAGTCTGACGGCTTTTGAGCAAACTAGATCGTTAACTGACCAAATGCACTTGTGAGTCTTGATGATGTCAGAGCAATCAGATAATAGCAGAAGTTGCACGTCATACTCACCAACAAGCATGAATGTTGACTTGCCGACTAGTATCTCGTAATCTCCCCCTGTGTGATCGAGCCTGAAATTATTAAACTTAGCAAGCCTACGAGGGAAAACTCTGAATGAGTTATTAGAAAACATTTCCGTCTATAACCATTCTATACATCTACAACCTGTGAGAAAACTGTGTTTTAGATATCAATACAAATGGTTCATTAACATCTGAATACTCATGATTACAATTTGTTCTATGATAACTATTTTTTTAAGGAAAATTTTGTCGGATTAGTCATTCTTGTACCTAAGTACAAAAAAGATCTTCTTGGGCCTAGTAAGTATTGAAAAGTAGTTTGTAGACTAACTACAACATGTCTTTAGTTGCGCTCTTAGTAATATTACCATTATGATGAAAATATTGTTTTGAAGTTGCTGGGCATTTCATAATGCTTTTATAGCATATGCAAATACAGGCCTATAATAATGAAAGAGGTACATTTTTTTTAAGTATTTAATTACTTGTGATTCATATCGAGTCAAATGTTTTCAATCAGCAAGTTTGTGATTTCCTCAGTTCAAATACATTAAATGTTTGCTATTGCTGCTTTTATTTGTCCAAGGTTTTTTTGGTATTATTCTTTAGCCTACAGCCCAAAGTAAAAACTCTGGGATATTATTACAAGCTCAAGCTATATAAACTATTTAACAGTTTAGTAAAGTTATAAAGAGTTGACCGGTGTTTAAACTTCTTGGTGATTTAGAACAGAACTATCAATAATTTTTAACTCTTTGTTACTGGTTTTTGAACACCATGATCACAGTAATAATAGGTTATTTGTTAATTCCGCACATAAGAGGTTGGTTGAATTTCTGCCTATGTCCTGCAGTCTTGCATAATGGAATGCAGCCAAAACTGGTTTCTCTCCAGGGTACAATCCCCGTACAGTATAAGGGTGAGTGCCCCAGCATGGCTCTACGTATCGACTCACCTAGTTCAGCTTGTTTCTCTTCTTACTCACCATCATATCTGTTCATTCAGCACATTTCAATAATGCTAATATATTTTTGTCATTAGCCTTGTAAAATTCTTTACCTTGTTTCTCTACTGTGGAAAATACTATTTTCAATATAAAGAAACAAAAGTACTTCAATTAATGTTACCCTTTCTTTGCCCTAGGGATACAAAGAACTTTTTAGCCTTGCAACAAATGCAGTTTTACCAAATATTTATTGTTTTGTTTTTATGAACAGATATGTTGGAATAACTTGTTAGATTGTGAAAATTTTCTTGTATTGACTCTGTTGCTGGTTGAAGCTTTGTACAAATAATAGCAGAATGTGAAATGCTTAGATTGTAACTTAGCCTGTGATACAAGCCTGAGCTGTGAAGTAAGTACCAGTACGCATGATTTAGCGATTTTCAGTTAGGTACAGTAATGATAAGCTCATCGGGAAATCCCGAGAATAGACTGTGAAAGCGATGTTAAATTGAACTTGTTGTGGTACTTAAACACAGTTAAAACAGCCTAATTCACTTTTACCATGATAGTTATCTTTTTAGTAGACCTTTTTTCATCTGAGGAACATTTTATAGAAAAGTGTTTGACATTATCTTGTTAAATTGTGCTATTGTTGACTGTAATTTCCTCTGTGACATTTCGAGTGTGACAATTATTCATAGATCAGGCTCTGCATCAGGCTCCCCTTAGGGAGTGTCAAATGATTTGCTTTTAAAAAGAAGGGATGTGCGTGTAGTTGTACTATGAATCCTGCTATATGTTTATTGTGAGTGACATTGTGTCACTTTTTCATTGTGTCTTGCCAATGTAAAACAGAATAGAAGTTATATTTGAGCTATATATTTATTTTTGAAGGGTATATTTGAAGTGGCTGAGCAATGACTTAGTCAAAGGCATTTCTTATGTAAGCGCACGAATGTATGCCTTGCTCATGAAAAACAATACAATCTTTTATGCATTGAGTTTTGTAATTCTTTGAAATTCTTGACAGTGTGACTATTTTCACTGTTTGTTTTGTTATTTATGATTTCACATGTCAAATCACAAATCATTAAATTCCTTTGCAGTTCATTGTGATACTAGACCTGTTTGATGTACTTACCCAATTTTCTATCACAGCGTGGACTCGTTATTGAGTGGGTGTCTATGACTGGCGTCATGAGTGGCTTCTATCAAACCATAATCCAAGATTATCTATAGTCAAGATTATTACTCGATAGAAGCTAAAACCAGAGTTGTTCTTTTTTTTCTCCAAAGCGAGTCAAAGATGTAATGGACAATTTAGTATGTACAAAAATACAATCAAATGTAGAGCAGAAGCTGTTACAATTCCTTGTCAACCTTAACAAATAGATTCGTTACTGAGTTTAGTCTCTCACAGGAATGGTAACTAACTATTGTAACCACCAAACTGTAGGGAGGGTACTAGTCACAAAACATCTTATATATGGTGAGTTTGGGAAAGGGTGTCATATCGGAAAAAGGAATTGATCAAAGTTCTAAAGAAGGTTAATTGTTTCGGACGTAAAAAGGTCAATCATGTCAGGCGTAAAAAGGTCTGCTGTAATAAGGGTATTTTGGTAGACTAAAACACAGTTCTCATTCTTGGTTAAGCTACATGATCTTTGAGTTTGTTCAAGTGAATTGTTTTCTCAAGTCTATTCTCGTGGTGTTGCCCAGTGCCTAGTAGATGTGTGTAACTTGTTTTGTGTCGCTAGTGATGGCCAATGGAAGATCCAAACAACTTGTCTGCTTGAATGGGACCATCCCTGTCACTATCGTAGGTAATGTTCGTCAGTTAAGAGTGTTATGGATTAATTTTCTGAAAAAAATTCTAATACAGTAGAACCCCTCATAGCCGGCCGCCACGGGTCCAAGCTCCTAGTGTGATAACGATTTAGCCGGTTGAACCAACATTTTATAAAATGATAATTTTCACCTAATCACATGTAATTAAAGAAATCTAGTCAAAAGTAGTGTACAAGTCTCTTTTGTGATTATTTTTTGGGAAAATATGCAAGTTTTTTAAAACCAATAGAAAAATAATTCCTAGGAGATAGTGGTAAAGTAATATCCATAAAATGTTATGAATTTATGCCAAATACATTAATTTATTAGTTCGATTGTGTAACTTTCTGTTCCACTGTCCCCACGTTATGTTTTTGTTTCTATACACTCATTTTTACATTGAACAATCTGTACAGAAAAAGCGCTGCAACATAATACACAACACTTGACAAAACAAAACAATGACTTTACTTACTGCACTCTACTAACTGCACTGAAAATTATCAACCAACTGTTTAGAGGCTTGGCATACTAGCTGATCTGAGTTGTGAACAAAAAAAAGTGAACAGTAAAATGTAAATAAATAGATAAACCGTGAGAGTACTCCAGACATGGAGTCTAGTGTCACTGAAAACATACTACTATTACCCAGAATGCTAACCGCTTGTTAAACAGTGTTAAGTACTCGGAGAGAGCATTGCCTGTCAATTCGTAGGCAGCGCCACATAATTGCTGCCATTGCTATGCTGGTGCATTGTATGCTAGTGGCGCTGCCTACGAATTGACAGGCAAAGCTCTCTCCGAGTACTTAACACTGTTTAGAATTAATAGTTTCAAAAGACCTTTTTCTTTGTAGTCTAAATTAAAACCCTAACACACGCGGTTAGCATTCTGGGTAGTAGTAGTATGTTTTCTGTGCTAGTGTGTGCAGCCTCATATCTGGAACTCGTCGGAAATATATCTCCATATTGGCTTCCAAGAAGTGGTCGGATAAACCGAGGCCGGATATGAAGGGTTCTGCTGTAATAACATATCAGAATAAATAATTCTACCTATACTGTAGCTAAATAAGAGTTTAATGGGACAATTTTTAATAACTTTGACCTCTGTCAGACCCAATACATGAATTACGATAATCTTTGATCAATTGTTTCATGCTCAGTTTCAAATTTATTACAAAAGAAAATAATTAAGTCATTCAATAATTCCAATTAAAATTATTTTACTGTTTGGACTACAGTACAACTTTAAGCATTCTGTAGTTGATCTATATCTATAGCCCAGTTGCACTTCTTTCCATGTGAAAAAAGTATCAAAAAGAAAACGAATTACAAAGCCTAAAAATGAGTTTATTTTGGCTGAATTTGTCTCATAACTATCTCCTCTGCTGATCTAGAGTAAAAAAGACATTTTTAGGCAATATTGTTGGATCTACTTCATTTTGTTTATTTTTTCAATGTAAAGTTGTTTGAATAATCTTGTTTTTGTTTTAAAACAATACCATTTCCAAAAAATGCCGAATTTAATATTTAAAAGCTAAATTTATTTTAGCATGATTCTGGATTTATTTCAGTAGTAATCAGGTTCAAATTTGATGATTTTACTTTAGCAATTCATCCAACTTATCATTCCCAAGCAAGGTATGGTACAACGGTAAGTATTGGTTTATAAAAGAAATTTTCCTCGGTAAATATTCATTTTTGAGTAATTCTTTATTCGTGCATGTGTAAAGTATTGGTGTCAGCTTACTGCTGACTTCTTTCACTGCATGTTCTATTTACATTGCTACAATTTGAAGCTTAACATTTTTTTTTACAATTCACTGTATTTTTCCAACAGACTAAAAAAGAATCATTTTGGCAGTAATTGGTCATATTTTCTTGTAAACATTCTGTCCTCTCATTAATATTGTTATTATAAACTATAACTGTAAGCTAAGTTAATGATAGGTTTCAAAGCTAAGCTAAGATTTATTTTTTTTACAAAAATCATTTCTTAATCAAGATTAATAATCCTGGATTTATATATCAACGCTAAGAAAATGTCATTTTTATAAACCAATTGAAATAAAAATTTTAAAAAAGTTGAAAATATTATGTTCGTAATGTAGGCCTATTGAAAATGTAATTTAAAAATATTAAATAAAATCAAAACCAATGACAATGTTGTGTAACTAACTACATGGTTTAATTTGTAGTAAACCTGCTAATTTGTAGTAAACCTGCTAATTTGTAGACTACTACCTGCGCCAGGACCGTCCGTGTCGTGTGCGTGTGATATCTTTGTTTTTGTAACCCTGACAATGCCGCATTTACGGCGAAACATGTAGGTTGTTAACCTCACTCAACTTTTGGATTACTTGACGAGGTATTGTACCATAATATTATAGTCATATAAAGTAATCCAGGGGCCATCAACATGGGATATAATTATTTTGTAACATCCTAATCCTGTACCTTCAATTTGGCACCGGTGCAAACAAGAACAGTATATATTGTAATTAATTTTTAAAAAATCTTAAAATAAATATTTTAGGCAATTTTAGAAAGTAAACGAGCAAGATCAGTCTGTACCGTTTGTGTTGTACTTTGCAGGCAATACATACAACATCCCTGTATGTATCTGGTTGATGGATACACATCCGAACCACGCGCCTGTATGTTTTGTCAAGCCAACACCAGACATGCAGATCAAGGTGTCCATGTTTGTGGACCACAACGGCAAGATTTACCTGCCTTACCTCCACGATTGGACTCCGGTGAGTAGATTTGGACAAAACATCATTAATTCTTAGTAGGCCTATTCAATTTGGACTGAAGGATGTTTACAGCTGCCAGAAAAGTCCCCAATGTTTCAGTAGTGTCCAATATCTCGCTGGAAAACCTTTTCTAAATTATTACATTCTAAGGGTAGAAATAAATTGTCTAAACTGTTAAATACTTTTATGCTGATCCAAGTAGAGTTTTTTGTTGAAAGTTTGAACATGATATGTTAAGTTAGAGAGTCACCATAGCCTCCTACAAGACAAGGCCGCAATGAGACAAAAGTGGCAGCACCGCTGTCTCATCAAACCCAAACAGCTGGTGCACGAATTTTTAATGGACAGTGTATGAAATGTTTATGTTTACACTTTTGTTATTTCTATTATTACCATACTTGACAAACTGGACTTGAAGTAATGTGACAAACAATTCCAGGTCTGTGTCCAACAGAGTAGAGGGGGTTTTTTAGTGAGTAGTCTGTGATAAACTCAGGAGTCTCACACTACAGGCTGGCTACCTGTGTGCGTAAAAGCATTTTCCCTCCTCACCCTAAAAAAAAAAAAAAAAAAAAAAATTACCATGGCAATAGGCATGATGTGGCGACGTTGCTACGCACCAATGCCGCGGCCTTGTATTAGAGGAGGCTATGAAGTCACACATTTTGCTATTAAGTAAATTCATTTGACTATGAACTGTGATTTTAAGTGTCAACAAACCAATGTCTTTTCCTTTTGTCAGCTGACAACAATGTGTTTTGTAGTAGTATGAAAAATACTTCATTTTACTTTACTTGGATGCTTGAAAATTGCTTGTAAAGCCTTTAAAAACACAAACTGTTGTATAGCAAGTTTTCTGAACGTCTAAACAAAAATTCTGTTTTAGATAGGAATTTAACAAGCACGAAGATCAGTGAAAGCAATGTTCTCTAACTTGGATCAGAAAGCCAGGCTTTGTCTTCATGATGAATGTAGCCTAACTATATACTTCTAATTTCATGGTGAAGTAGCCTCTGGATCACTAAATTTTAGCTAAATGGTTTAAGTTACCTGGCTTCGTCAAGTGATCCTGCTTCGGTAGTACACTACTATAGTTTCAGACGTAAAAATATATAAAATAGTCATGACTCACCTTCCGGCGTTGCCACACGTGTCCCCCGTGATTAACTACACTGGCCAGTTTTTACAGTATTATATTAGTTTTTTATGTTTTTCGTGTTCGTTGTATGTGTTTTAAGTGTAACGACGAATCTAACCAAATTGGTTAGATGACCTATTGACGTTTTTTGTTAAACCTGAAGATGGACTTTTTACGTCTGAAACTATAGTAGGCCTAGTGTACTACCGAAGCAGGATCACTTGACGAAGCCAGGTAACTTAAACTTAAACTTTAACTTTAACTTAAAGCTAAATGGTTATTTAGCTTAACTATATGCTTTCTAACTGCTAAAAAAATAATATTGCAAATCCTGTTAGTTTCTAATAACTAGATATTAAAGAAGTTCCACATGCTTCTTGCCAACAACACATAATCGGTAAGTGAAGACTGTTTGGTTTCTCCATGAAGATCTAGTAGCCGATTTGCAGCCAGTGTAAGTAGTATTGTATAATCTGGTAGCTTAGTGCTGTACTCGCTGTTAAACCTAAAAGCATGAACTGTTCTTGTACACAGAACCAGTCGGATCTGCTTGGGTTGATACAAGTGATGATCTGTACGTTTGGCGAGCAGCCACCGGTCTACGCAAAACCTAAAACCGACACTCCCGCAGCCACCCCATACCCTACACAACGTGAGTACTGGAATGAAACTCTTGACAAAATGGCGACTAATAAGTAATAATATTAGATATAGAGAATGCAATTTGAAAAATTGGCCTTTTGGTTGTGATACTTTATCAGTATTCCCACTACTCCAGCTAAAAAAATTATTTTAGATGGAGCTCAACAATAAAAGTTTGCATAATACAACTCCCTCAGAGTCCCAAACAAGCCAGATTAGCAAGAATGGAAGATATTAGCAGTCTTCAAAAAGTGCCAGATTTGTAACTGGCGCTGCTATTCTACAGCATCCTGTAGAAAAACTGGTAGTGGCAAAATCTTATATATTGAAAAAATTTGGTTTTTCTTTTCCTAGGATACCTGACCAATTTTTATGATTGAGGTTTCAAATTGAAGGTATGCACACACAGATTTCCAGACTTAAACTTGCCAAATCTTAATTTCAAATAACTATTTTTCTTCATGAGAATGTTTGATATGGTTGACATGTCATAATTTGTGACTTGAATACATTGAAATTTAGGATTTTTTGTGTGAAAAATGTGTATTTGTGCTGTTAGTGGTAGGCCAGTCAGTTACAGTTCTTACCTTTTTGCCAAAAAAGTTTGCAATTGGTTTGATTCTAGGTAGCTCAACTAACATATTTGTTTTAATGAAATTCTCAACATTCAATTGGAAGAGTGTGTTGTCTAATACAATGGGACACCTCATCATGTTTTAAATGTCACTTTAGCTACATCGTCGTCAGGTTTATATAGGCATGTAAAATTACTACTTACAACCAATTGGGACCATGTTAAAAGTTAAAGAGTTTGATGTGTTTGTTCGTTTCAGCGTACATGCCTATGCCAGGAGCGAGTGGCGGCAACCCTCCTTACCCTCCGTATCCGCTGACTCAGGGATACCAACCTGCGCAGAACACTCCATACCCACCGTATCCAGTGTACCCACCAACCAGCATGTACCCACCTGCGCCTGGAAGCTACCCTCGCCCAGCTTACCCCCCACAACCTACCCCGACTCCTCCCACTGTGAGTATATTGTTACATGTTATATAAACCCTTTGGGTGCCGCGGGAAGGGTAAAGCAATTTGATTTTAGGTTTGCCAGGCATACATGTGGTACCCTGCTAGGAATGCTGGCCATTTTTCCAAAAAAATTACGCGTTTAGGGAAACGACAAAAAATATTTATTTATAGACAATTTTTACTTATTTTTGTCATTTTGTAAATTATAATATTCTGCATTTAAAAATACAAATTTCGATAGATTTTTTAAGAGGTAAAAAGAATCATTTAGTTGACAGCACACATATCTTTTAGTAAGGTAAAAATTTCCCCATCTTTGGCTGGTGCTCTGTGTAATTTATAAAACGCCTGTTTTAATTTTTACAAAAAGTTGGGTCTTGAATATTGCTACAAGAAGTCCTAGCATTAGGAGTCATCTGATATGTGAAGTCCAAGGCCTACCCTACCTAACCCTAAAGAGACATTGTAATACAATCCAGATTTGTCTAAACTGACACATCAACTGAGAGTCTCGTCCTCCAAAGTGTTTTAAATGGCACTGTGATTCATGATTAATCAATTTGATTGATCAACTAATAGTGCCAAATTATAACTTACCATTGTATTAATGAAAAAAAAAACATATAGACTACTACACAAATAGGCCTATAGTAAAATCACGTAACTAGGCCTACCAAGTCCATAACACATCAGGCAATTATCCACAAACCAAACCAAAAAACTATCAGAAAAATATAACCAAGTATGGATTTTGTTTATATTTTAAAGGTTTAAAATCTAAACCACAATTTACAACCATAACCTATTGCCTAATATGAAAAAAGGTAATGATAGGTAAAACTAAAAGGCTTGGAGAACATATTATACACTTCAAACTCAACTGTCTATTTAAATCTGATGCCAAGTCTGGATTCAGGATATCTACAAATGTAAAGATTCGTCTTATATCTCCAAGCAATAATAATAATAACAATAATAATTATTATTATTATTTTAATGTAGTTCAAAGTGAATGTCAGAGAGTATTATAGCTGAATGGGATAGCTAAATTCCGTAAGGTGTTTCAAATGTAGCGTTCCAAGACCTACTTTTTTTAATTTGTCATTTTAGAATACAGTATGTCTTGCAGATTGATTTATGGACAGTCTTTAAATTTTACGAGATATCATTTTCTAGTAAGTTTTAATGACCCTTTTAATGACTCAGAGCGCTGGAGGCACTGGAACAATCAACGAGGAACACATCCGCATCTCTCTACTGTCTGCAGTAGAGGATAAGCTGCGGCGCAGACTGGACGAGCAGTACGCACAGTCTCGTGCAGAGCTGGACATTCTACAGCAGAGCAGTGCGGAGCTTGCACAAGGCAAACAGCGTCTGGACAAGATCATCGAGCGGCTCGACAATGAAAAGGTGACCTGTTAGCGATGTCAACGTTTTATAAAGTTAGCGATATCAATGTTTCACAAATTTAGCCACATGAAGATGAGTTAGCAAGAATAACATTGATGATTCCATCACAAAAAAACATACTGGAATGAATCTTAAATATGTTAAAACTAAGTGACACATGTCACTTTTATGTGTCTTTCAACTTGATTTGTCCATATTCAACAAAATCAAAAGCTACAGACTCTTCCCTGGATCCAGCGGTCTTTTGTTTTGTTAGGTGAGCACGAGCACTGTCTGTCAGCTACATGATACCAGCAAAAGTTCCTTTTAGCAGGGCAAGTTGCAGCGGTTAATTTTGCCTGGTTATTGTTGTAACGAGCTTGTGTATAACATTTCTTTGACATGTCAGGTTGTTTGTTGTAGAATGAGCTGGAGCGCAACATCTCGTTGTTGAAGGAGAAGGAGGTGGAACTGGATAAAGCCTTGAGTCGACTGAGTGATGAGGAGCCAATAGATGTGGATGAGGCTGTCACAACCACGGCTCCCCTGTACAAGCAGTAAGTCTCTATTACATTAGTCAGCCACTACCGTGGAAAATAAATCCCTTATAGCCATCCACATGAGTACAGATCACATGGGTAATGATCCAGTCAAAAGCAGTTATGGGAGAGAAATCTGAATAATTGTTGTATATGTGTCGGGTTTGATTGAGTTGAATTTGATGCTGAGGAGGTTTTGAGTAGTTTTAGCTTAGCGAATTTCTCTATAATGAAGTAGCCATTACCAAAGGTGGCACAGTAAGACCTAGGCCCGGGACCGATTTACTTTTTCATTTTGATAAGAATAAGAATGTCTCTCCAGAGAATGATGTCTCCAGAGAGACCAAAAACACTATTCGTTCAAATTATTATATATGTTCTTTTTTTCATTTTTTACCCTAAAATGTTCTAATTTTTCTCTAAACTATTTTGAAGAGCTTAAAAAACAAATTATTTAGTATGTTAAGTTTGTGTACTGATATTGGTTACAGAGAAAATTCCAAAAATTGTTACTTAAAATTCCAATGATATTCTTATGGAGAATAAGTAACCTGTTGTAATTAGCTTGTTTATGGATATATTTTTATTAAACCTGGCAAATTAATTCATTTGGTACTAAACTAGATTAATATTTGTCTAAAAATCACATTCCATTACTCTCTCTGTAGCAGCAAGTACTTGTTAAACCTAATGTTATTTAAATAGATTTAAGTGAAAATTAAATAAGGCAAATGGAAATTCGCCTATTCTGCAGGTTTGCTGCGGCAGGTGTATTTTTTCCAGATTATAGGCCATCCTCAGTTAGTCCCAACAGTATCCCTTCTTTTAAGTTATCTTTAGCTAAACTCTTATTCTGTCGTATTTTACATCATAACCTCCTTTATTTGTAGGATTCTGAATGCATTCGCTGAGGAAGCAGCCACAGAAGACGCAATCTACTATATGGGAGAGGCATTGAGACGTGGGGTCATTGACCTAGACGTGTTCCTGAAGCAGGTGCGCACGTTGTCTCGCAAGCAGTTCATGCTCCGAGCACTCATGCACAAGTGTCGTCAGCGGGCCGGACTAGTCGGCTAAACTCCCTTCATCAACCGTAACTTAATATTGTATCAAGCTTATGCTCAATTCCTGTCTAAATAGCTAGTACTGTACCGATCAATACCCGTTAACAGATCTATGTAAAATATATTATTTTTATTGATTTTATCTGTGGAATTTTTTCCCATTCTTTCCGTGATTGATTTTTGTAAAAAATTCACTTGATACAGTACTACACTACACTGACTTTCTGTCTTCAATGCACATACATTAATTTTACTTTCTTTAACTAATATTTCCCCTTGCAGAACTCATCCATTGGTACTTCGAGCCCATATATTTTTATGTAAAGTTAATGTAAGAGAACAGGTAATATAATAAGAAAGGATAATGATAATTAGTTGGAAGAAGCAGAGGGGTAAACACACATAGCGTTATTTACAATTGTCAGATTAAGTAGGCCTATTAAATAACGTAACAATATAATATGAAGAAATACAATGTTCTATTTAGAAATAAAATATATTTTGAACTGTATAAATGTCACATAATCTAAATTTAAAACACACAAACACATACAGAAAAAAACCTTCAAAGAGATACTTATTGATATGAGACAAAATATTTAAACAGATTTTTTATTTTCACATATTTTTTTAGTAAAATAAAAATAAATTGATAAGAGTGGTTGATATAAACAGCACCATTGCTATGAAAGAATAAAGGCAAAAACATTTAAAATAGCAGGTACAGTTGTTGAAAATATAATTGCCATTAGAGTTGGTTAAATGATAGAAGCATTATAGTAAAATAATTCCTTAGCTTCCTATGACTATAGAAATTTATTGTTTAGTGAAAACACTGAAATTCAGGAGTCAAACTTCCGGTACTTCAGGTAGCAGTTGGTTACAAATTGATATTTTACTGTACTGATAATTTAAAACGTCCTGCCATGTTTATGGTACGGATTGTGTCAATTAGAGTGGTGAGTGGGGTGGGAGGCCCACGCCAACAAGAACCCTTCCCTCAGCATTGTTGCTGTTTTGTACAGTCACCTCAACAATTAATTACGGTTGGATAATTTTATTATTACCAGCATAGCAATGGATTTCTCTTGGTTAGTGGTGAGACTCTCAATGTTGGGAATCTTTCCCTCACCCCTCCCACACATCACCCTGAATGTCACAATTTGTATGCATGGTAAGCTCTTTAACAGAGTTAAAACCTCTTTGGTATCATTGAATACTTTTCTCTGCACAAACTACTTCAAAATGTAAACTGTAGAACAAGCAATAACACTGTGATGAAAAGCATTTCCAAGCTGTGTGTCGTCGAGCTTGCCCCTCCGGTTTTCTCTGTTTGCTCGGCTGCCTTGGCCTTTGCCTCTTCTCCTGAAATTGCTCTGAACTCGAGGAACACCACTCCTGTAACAGAGAGGAATGTGGTGTTTAAAAGATAGATGTTCCTCAATAAGGGGACCCAAAAAGGAAATCACCAGTTTTCAGTTTGATACTAAAACTATGACCAGCCACTGTTTCAATTTTGTATTGACTTGTAATAAATCTTAGGAAATTTGATCAAAGTATCGTTTGAATTACGATAATCATAAAATTAACCTATCTCTTTATGATTTTACAAGGTTTATTCAATCATTCACACTTACCAGTTGGGACAATTCGAATACTGATTTTTGACTCTGGTTTTAACAGTTCTTCCTGGTAACTTGTCCTGAAAAGATCCTGAAACAAATTATAAATGTTTTAAGTGCTAGATTGATGTTTTCACAATCTCCTAAAAACAAGTTTCAACCGGGATCATGTATGAGGTAACAGCATAACTGCAGTGCATTAACTTAAGAAAGGTTTATAGTCCAATGTATTGTTTTCTGTCAAATAGTTAAATACATTTTATTTTCCTGTACGGCTTTTGAAATTTTTTTTATGATGATGAATTGGAAATGGGAAAAATTAGTGGCTCCAATGGGACACACACATAATTGAGACACACATAGAGCCTTTCAATTTATTAATGAAATTATTAAATTAAATTATATAGTAAGTGCCTGTCACCCGCTCTGAATATTATGGCTCTCTGCAACAAAGCCAAAACGTTAGCAACTATTGTTTCTCCTAGTATTCCAATGAGGTCGTACCCAGAAGACTTAGTACTTAAGAGCTAATCAAATTATTGTAACATATTCACAATTTTTATAACTTTCCAACCTTTTTACTTATTTAACCACAACATGGATGGTATAAGTTGAAAAATCTAGAACCTACTGTAATTAAAAAACATCATACATGTATGAAACATGTGTGGTGCCACTAAATTGTCTAACACAATAACCATGTGTTCTGTATTTACTTTAATCATTTGTTTATTTTTTTGTTATCCTAGCAACCTAGGTAACAACAGTTTTTCTGATTTGAATCTAGTGGATTACACTACTTAACTATTCTCTGTAAATTAAATGACCTTTTACTAGAATGATTTGTTTTAGTGCGTCTATCCGCTAGAAATGGTGACCCCGACTAACAAGTAAATTATTTCAAACTAAATTGATGTTTTTCCTACATTAAATTTCAACCTTCTACCAAAACTTCATTTATTTTTCACCTTTCCCCAAATTATCGTTTTACGCCATGGACCAAGAACTTTTGGAGCGCCTAGCTCAATTAGAGAGTGAGAATGCCAACTTACAAAGACAACTTCAAGATTTGAATGGAAGACAAGAACAAAATCACATTTCTGTACATCCTCAAGAAGCCAACCTACCTGATCTTCCACCAGTTCTACCACAGCATCAGCCAGATCATACAGCCCATTCCGACGAACGACATGAAGATCGTCACATCCACCGGGTAAGCATAAAACTTCCACCATTCTGGAAAGAGAAACCAAGGCTCTGGTTTGCCCAAGTTGAGGCTCAGTTTACACTGGCTCACATCACGAGTGAAACAACTAAATACTCGTATGTAATTTCACATCTTGATGAGCGCTATGCTAATGAAGTGGAGGATCTTATAATAGATCCACCTGTTGAAACTCCTTACTCTACTCTTAAGTCAGAAATAATCAGACGGTTGTCTCTATCTGAGGAGCAACGCATTCGTCAGCTGTTGATGGAGGAGGAACTAGGTGACAAAACTCCTTCTCAGTTTCTACGCCACCTTCGATCACTAGTAGGTTCGACCACAATCCAAGATAGTTTACTGAAAACTATTTGGATGCAGAGACTTCCTGCTCATGTACAAAGTATTTTGCAAGTCCAAACAAGTGCCCAAACTGACACACTTGCAATTACTGCCGACAAAATTCTAGCAGTCCAACCTAACGCATCTTTTTGCCATTCTCTCACTAGTATGCCTACATCTTTGAATGCCGTTAATTCACCAAATCCTAAATCTTCATTTTCTGATGACCCAAAATTAACTGAAGTTTTATCAAAATTATCTACTTTGGAGTTGCAAATGAAAAATATGCGTAAAGATGTTGATTCCCTACGTGACAGGCGACCTAGGTCACGTCAGAGGAGTTTGTCTAGTAGTCGTTATCACGCAGGTAGCTCCTCTGACACTACAGAGCAAACCAATCTATGCTGGTACCACAAGCGTTTTGGCTATCAAGCTGAGAAGTGCATTCCACCATGCAATTTCACTTCTCCGACAAACTCCAAAGGCAGCCAGTGATGGCGTCAGCTGACTGCCAAGCTGGAGGGCGCCGCCTACAAATCGTCGACCGTACAACTAATACAAAATTTTTGATTGACACTGGATCCGACATATGCTGCCTCCCTAAATCATTCGTTTGTAAGAACCAAAAGCATATAGAATATGAACTTCGTGCAGCAAACAACTCTGCCATTCACACCTACGGTATGATGACATTAACATTAAACTTAGGGCTGAGACGAGCTTTTACATGGAATTTTGTCATTGCTGATGTTAATACAGCGATTATAGGCTCTGACTTTTTAGCACACTTTGGATTGCTTCCTGACTGTCCTAATCAACGGTTGATTGACAGTGTAACAAACCTTTCTGTTCTTTGTCAATGTACCTCAATCCCTCATTTCAGCATCAAAACTATCACACCCAATTCTTCAACTTCATCAATACTGGCAGAATTTCCCATGATTACCCGACCCTCTGGTACACCAAGAAAAGTGCTCCATTCAACCTTGCATTACATCAAAACGACCCCTGGCCCCCCAGTTTCATCTCGTCCACGTCGACTCGCCCCTGATCGGCTTGTTATAGCCAAAGCCGAGTTTGATGCCATGCTCACCGATGGTACTGCACGTCGATCTGATGGACCTTGGTCATCACCCCTTCACATGGTCCCTAAGAAACCTGATGGATGGCGCCCCTGTGGAGACTACCGTGCTCTCAATGCTAGGACGATTCCTGACAGATATCTAGTTAGACATATCCACGATTTCACCCATTCTCTCAGAGGTTGCAAGTATTTCTCTGTGATCGACCTAGTGAAGGCCTACACACAAATCCCTGTCAACCCTGAAGACATCCCGAAGACAGCCATTACAACCCCCTTTGGATTGTTTGAATTCCCCTTCATGTCCTTTGGCCTCCGAAACGCAGGACAAACTTTTCAGCGTTTCATTGATGAAGTAGTTTTTGGTTTAGACTTCTGCTTTCCTTATATAGATGACGTCTTAGTTTTCTCTAAGGATGAGACTGAACATGAAGCCCATCTACGAACTCTATTCAATCGGTTTTCTGATTATGGCATACTCGTTAACGTAAATAAGACTGTTTTGAAAGCTCCAAAGGTTACCTTCCTAGGATATGAGGTATCATCTGCTGGTACTCGACCACTTCCTGAACGTGTTGAGGCTCTGCAACAATTCACCCGTCCCTCTACTGCAAAAGGTTTGCGTCGTTTTCTCGGCATGTTGAATTTCTACCGCAGATTCATTCCTTCAGCTGCCAAGCAACAAGCAGCTCTCCATGATGCCCTCTCATCTCTACGTGGAAACCAACCTGTAAATTGGACTCCTGAATTGGATACTGCATTCTTATCCTGCAAAGAACATCTCTCCAATGCTACCTTGCTTGTTCACCCTGACCACAAGGCCCCTCTCGCATTGTTCTGTGATGCCTCGAGTACCCATGTAGGAGCTGCTCTCCAGCAGATGGTTGACAATAAAACATGGGAACCTCTCTCTTTCTTTTCACAGAAACTGACACCAAAACAATCCCTTTGGCCAGCCTATTACCGTGAGCTTTTCGCTGTATATGCCGCCATTCGTCACTTTCGTCACTACCTTGAGGCAAATCATTGCATAGTTTTCACAGACCACAAGCCAATAACATTTGCCTTCAGTCAAAAACGTGAAAAACTACCTCCTGTTCAGCAAAACCAACTAACATTCATTTCACAATTCACTACAGACATAAGACATGTTTCTGGATCGGCCAACCTAGTAGCTGACGCATTTTCTCGTGTAGATTCATTGTCAACTACGGCTCCCAGCATTGTAGATGCCAAAACTTTGGCACATCATCAAGACTCTGACCCTGAGCTACAAGAGATCCTTAAGGGAGAGACATCTCTTAATTTGAAGCTTGTCAAAATTCCTGGAACAGACCTTGATGTATACTGTGACACAACAACTTCAGTACAACGACCCTTTGTCCCTGAGCCCCTTAGACGCTCAGTTTTTAATTCTATACACAATCTAAGTCACCCTGGCATCAAAGCTTCGGCAAAACTTGTTTCTAATCGCTTTGTTTGGCCCCGAATTCAACAAGACTGTCGAAACTGGGCCCGAGCCTGTGAGAAATGTCAACGTGCTAAGATCTCCCGTCATGTATTTACACCCCATGGATCGTTTTCACTCCCATCATCAAGATTTGATCATGTTCACATTGACATCATTGGACCACTTCCACCATCCGGACCATACAAATATTGCCTAACAGCTATCGACCGCTACACCAGATGGCCAGAAGTTCATCCATTGAAAACCATCACCGCAGAAGAAGTAGCTGAGGCTCTGGTGATGTGCTGGTTTTCCCGTTACGGCTCACCCTTGCGCATCACAACTGATCAAGGACGCCAATTTGAGTCAGCATTATTTCGTGCCCTTGGAAAGACCTTCGGTGTAGAGCGAATCAGAACTTGCGGCTATCATCCTTGTGCTAATGGTTTAGTCGAGAGATTCCATCGGCAGTTTAAGGCAGCTCTCATGTGCCACAATGATTCAACATGGCTTGAAGCACTTCCCATCGTACTACTCGGCATTCGCAGCGCATATCGTGAAGACCTTCAGGCATCTACTGCCGAATTAGTTTTTGGCCACCAACTCCGTCTACCTGGAGAACTTCTAGACCTCCCTCAAGACACAACTCGTGAGGAGGACCCGGCTGACTATGTAGTTCGCTTACGTCGACACATGTCAAATTTAAGACCTGTGCCCACATCTTGGCATGATAAACCAAAGACCTTCGTTTTTCAGGAGTTAAAACGGTGTACTCACATATTTTTGCGAGATGACTCTGTTAGACGATCACTACAACCACCTTATACTGGACCGTTTCCCGTGGTATCTCGTGATGATAAAACTATGACTATAATCCATCGTGGTAAACGTGTGAAGGTGACGTTGGACAGAGTAAAGCCCGCGTATCTATTGCAAGATCTTACTCCTTCAACACATACACCCATCCATAATAAACATTCCAGAAATCCACCCTCCACAGTGTTCCCACTCAAGACCCTACTCTCAAGCCAACCCAAGCCTTACGTGACCCGATCTGGTCGTACTGTGAAATTTAAAGTGCCCGGTCTTCCAGACTCCGCAGGGGGCTAATGTGGTGCCACTAAACTGTCTAACACAATAACCATGTGTTCTGTATTTACTTTAATCATTTGTTTATTTTTTTGTTATCCTAGCAACCTAGGTAACAACAGTTTTTCTGATTTGAATCTAGTGGATTACACTACTTAACTATTCTCTGTAAATTAAATGACCTTTTACTAGAATGATTTGTTTTAGTGCGTCTATCCGCTAGACATGTATTACCATTGAATATTGATGCTATCACAAGGAAATCATTTTTTACAAAACACAAAGATACAAGACCAGTTGGACTGAACTAGGCTCACCTGAACAATGTATCCGGATGGGTTGTGTAGGCCGAGATCACTGAGATTTGTTTTGAAGGGGTACGGCCATCCATCTGTGCGGCTGCTTACAAAGGCTATGGCATAGGAGTAATGCTCATCAAGTTTTGGAGATATCGGTCTCACCCATACGTGAATATCATCGCTCTAAACAAAGTTGTTTAAAGTATTATTATTACAAATGAAAATTAAATGTTAACATAAGTGGTCATATTGTCTGAATTTGAAATGTGTATATTTATTTACGCTTCTAAAGTGACTTTCAAACTTCCAAAGTTTGATTGAATTTATCAATTACTGTAATTAGTTCTACTTATTTTTTGCACTCATTATGTAGAAATTCCCAAAATTGATTATTGGCAGATTCATAGTTTAATTATGATTCCAGTACTTAAACATTTTCATTGATTCTGGATTTTTAATGTGATTCCAAATCCAAATTCACCATTATAGGTACACCATGAATAAAAATAAAAATGAAGAAGTTCAAAACATACAACAACGGTAATTAATTAAGTTTTCACTTTTTCATGGGAAAATTTTGAAAAGTCAATGTATGATTTATTCATAAATAGCAATTTAGAGAATGACCCATTCATTCAAAATCATTGAAAGTTCTGTTTCAAGTTCTGTAAATATCCTGTTAGGACTTAGTAGCCTACACACTAAAAATTCAAAACAATAATGGATAAAGAAATAATAAACACTAATTTTCAACATTCATGACGAAAAACCTTAAAGTAAGCTCACAGAAATTGTCTTCTTTCCTTGTATGCCAAGAGGATCTTGGTTGATGGCAATTACTCGTTTGTTCTGTAAGATTTGTTTGAACTCTGGCTGGACTTTGGCAAGATCTGTAGACAACAGTAGAGGAGCTGCTAACACAGCCCATACAGCCATCTGGGCCTCTGATTGCCACACAGTCAGACCAAAGTTGCCAATGATGAGCTGTAAACACACAATAGTGATGAACCATTGACAATACTGACGTAGACAACAGTAGAGGAGCTGCCAACACAGCCCATACTGCCATCTGGGCATCTGATTGCCACACAGTCAGACCAAAGTTGCCAATGATGAGCTGTAAACACACAATAGTGATGTAAATATGAAATAGCATAGTAGGCCTGCAAATGATACAGCAAAGTGCAAAAAATTGTTTAGTTCATCACACTCAATCTGTACACAATTTCTCTTCCCCCTAAAACATTTTAAACCCCATCCAAAAAATCCCCCACCAAAAAAATATTTGTATGACACACTCTGTGTCATTCCCCCATAGGAGCAAGCACCCTTGCTTTTAGTTTCATTAAATTCAGTGCAATACACACACAGTCATTTGACAGATATCATAATTCCATTTACTTTATTTAAGAACTGGAATTAGCCGAAACTATAATACAGAACTAACAATTAACGTATAACTTACCATGTCGGGATCATTCCAGTGTCCAGGCCCAGCGTGTTGAACTAGGTCGGATCTCTTAGCAAAGTAGCTCATGATGCTCCACACAGAACCCCAAGAGTCATCTATATCTCCGTACAGCCTCCATAGGTTGCAGTGTTCTGCAATGGCGGTCCAGTTTATCTAAGATACAAGATAGGATTCGATCACATTAATTCACCAATACAGCAGGGTACTTGCGTATTTGCAAGGCAAAGATGGGTGAAGGATGAATATGGAATGGTAACTTTCTCACTGACTAAAATCAGCTGGTTCTATAACCAGAAAAATTAAATTAAAACTCAATAAATAAGGATAGCAGGGCTCTGCTTTGAATAAATTATCAAAAAGCTACTGACTTCTCTCAAGATGAAACTGACAACGTTCTGATTAGTGGGTTCCACTCAGGTAACCAACTGTAAATATTATTCCTAGCTGCCGAAGCAATTCTTCCGTTGATGAAATATTGATCAAGTATCAGAAAAAGGGCATCCGCTCAACCTAGAGCCATGGCAAAAAATGATGACTCGCGAAGTACCTGCAAAATTCAACACACTCTCCAGGAGTACAACCATTTATGTACCAAGACACATGGCTAGTCCAAAGGACAACGCTGTTCACTCTAGATGGGTGATTATTTTAACAATTCTGATGTTTTTCAATGACAGCTTTTGTACTATTAAAAAGCACTGAACATGAAGCAATATGAACATTGCTTGGTATCCTATCTTTGGAGAAAATATTGAACAATTTACACAACCAATAAAAACATAATATTTGGCAAAATTAATTTGTATACATGAGATTTTGTAAATGTTATAAATGCCGGATCAGCCAAGTTCAAAAAGTTTATTTAAGATATATTTTCATAAAATATGTACAAAAAAACTTACATCAGGGTTGTCTATCTTGTACGCAGGCCAACTACAAGAGTACACCATTGGTCGTCCGGTCTTCTTCAAGGCTTGGCCGAACTCGGGATATACTTTTTCCAAAACCATGTTCTTTGTGTAGCATCCGTCCAGTTTGACGTAGTCAACTCCCCAATCAGCGAATGTTTGGGCGTCGAGTTCAAAATGATCAGCGCTGCCAGGATATCCAGCGCATGTATTGGTCCCGATGTCCTCATAAATACCAAACAGTAAGCCCCTAGAGTGCACCTTCAATGAGAAATCACAAATTGTTTTATTATTAAGGTTAAACTTAAATAAAGACATTTCTAATGATTGTGTATCTGATTATCATATACTATCATATAATAAGAATCTAAGGGTGTCTGATGTCTGTCTGGGTTTCAATCATGTAAAAACTACTGAACCAACTGAACTTAAGCTACCATACTGAGGAATAGTTTGGACTGTACCAACTTCAATACCTACTTTTTTGCCTCTACATCTCGTACATATGATAATGAGATTAAAAGCAGAGAAAGTAAAAATTGCAAAGAGTAAGTTATTGTGGTATCATTTTCTACTAAAGGACAAATAAATACTGCTTTTAATTTCCAAACCTCAGACCTAACTAAAAGCGAATATCAACTGGATACTTACGTAGTCTGCTAAAGCCTTGATACCCGAAGGAAACCGCAGCGGATCTGGTTGCAGTTTTCCGTCCTTGTCTCGAGTGTTGGCAAGCCAGCAATCATCAATGATTACGTATTTATATCCTGCATCGGCGTAACCCTCGGATACCATTAGATCTGTGACGTTGCGGAACAGCTTTTCACTGGAAAAAGCAACCATATAAATACTTGGACAGCTTATATTACTTAATTCTGGCAGTAATATTGTCAAGGCGTTTAAATTATTGAAAAATTCATGGATGATACTTAATTCCTATCCCACTTTGTTGCAGGTTACTATAAAGTTAATAACTGTTTATACTGGAGATGTGTTCAACTTTTTAGCGAATTTCCCTATAGGGAAGTATTAGCGAATTTCCCTATAGGGAAGTAGCTATTACCGTAGGTCTCATGGTAAGACCTAAGCCCGGGACCGATTTACTTTTTCATTTTGATGTCCCCAGAGGTAAAAAACACAATTCGTTCAAATTTTTATATATCTATATATAGAGATATATATATATATATGTGTCCATCCACACGATAACTTGAGTAATTTTTGTCCGATTTTGATAAAATTTGATTTGAAGGTGTAAGGCGGGATAAACTTGAACGAGTTCGCAAACCAGCATGATCGGACTTAAGGAACGGGGGTTTACGGGGGGTTTTATGGGGTAAAAATAGGTTTTTCCCATTTTTGACCCAAAAAACATAAAATTTAGCAATTTCTTTCCAAACCATTTTGTAGAGCTTAAAAAAAACAAATAATTTAGTATATTGAAGTGTTACTATGCGCCTAATGGTTACGGAGAAAATTAGTTTAATAGGTAAAATCACAACAGTTGCATCAACTTTAACCGTAATTTTTATAGGAATGGGGTGTTGCAATATTTTGTTTGGAATTATAAGGACCATAACAGACAAATTTCAGTCAGAACTATTTTTTTCAAAATATCAATTTTTCTGTTTTTTATAGGAAAATAACATAAGTTACTATAACTTTTAAACCGTAATTTTTACAGCAATGGGGGGTTGCGCTATGTTGTCAAGAAGGACCATTAAATTCAAATACTAATTTCAATAAAAACCAGTATTTTTTACAAGAATCCTTGATTAACTTTTTAACTACAATTTTGTTCCAAATTTAAAGGGCTATAACATTAAATTTTATCCAAATCTTTCGGTGCTATTTTAGAGAAAATTAAAATTTTCTTTTTTTTTGGAGGGTTTTATAGGAAAATCGCCATTAAAAACAAAGATTTTTCAAAAACGGTCTAAACACATTCACACATGCAGACACACACACAGTCAGACGCAACTTCGAAAACCACTTTTTTTAGTTCAGGGGGGCCCAAAACGGATATATCCACTCAAAACTCAAACATTTTGATGAAGACAATACACTGGTTTTTTTTTATGAAATCAGTAAAAAATTGTTGAGAAACTTTCAGTGTTGCTTAAAACCAGTGCTATAAACTAATGTATCAAATTACTTGGAAAACAAAATTCCTGTAGTCAACACTGAAAAACTGTTGAACAACTCTACATAAAAATTAGTGTTTTTTTTATTGTTGTTAACTTTTGTTTAAAACACATGATGCAAACTCCAAAGTAAATACAGCTTATTTTTGGTAAGTCAACCATGTAAGCAACAGTGTTTCAGTTGCTGCAATGAATAGATTTCTTACTCATCAGTGGTTTCAGTGGATTAATTCAGCTTACCTGATACACTCATTAGGGTAGAGTTTACAGTCGGTAATACATCTGTAGCGCTGCCATGACATGAAGCCCATGGGGGGAGTGAGGGCAAGCCCGTTGTCCAGACATGTAGCTGTTCTAATCCACACAAGGGTGAGAAAACCCGCACAAAGAGACTGGATCATTATAAGCCTTCAACTGCAACATTGTTTTAACTTCAAAAAACAAGTTTGGGTGCTGTGTTTCTAAAAATAGTGTTTCTACACTTCAAAATGTTATCAACCAAAGTCAAACCCAAAATTGTTCCCACTTTGGAATTTTACAACATTTGTAACAACAATTGTTCGGTGAAGTAGAATAACATGGGAATGTACAGACTAATAATTAATTGACCTATTACTGGCTCACACAAGTTATGTTTTTATCATACTTTAAAATTTGGATTTTTTCTGTCAGAAAGTTAGCATGAAATTTAAAAAAAATATTTACTGATGAAGATTACTTTAGAATCACCTCAATATCTGAAATATTTCTAAGGGATTGAAACTTTACAGGATAAGTTTACAATATTAAAAGATAATTTATTGCAAGTTGTTAACCAATGAGTCGCAAAAGAGGATTAACTCACTTGTATGAGAGAATGTTCTAGCTAGAGCCATAAAAAAATAAAACAAAATGGCTGAATTTCGGGTTCAATGAATAGGCTTCCCACTATGTTAATTTTGTTATCATAGAAATGGGCAGTTCTGATTAGCTGTGGTTTTATTAAACAATGAATTCATCAGCTTTCTGTGACTCTTCATATTGAGATATAAAAGATTTTATCTCTTGTTATATTATTACTAAAACTTTTAAGATGATGTAGCTTGAAATAGTATATTTCATCACTAGGGCTTAAAGTGACTCTTTTCCACCCGAGCTCAAGCCGAAGTCGGAAAATGAGCGTGGGTTGAAAAGACACTTTTTGCCCATGTTATGAACTATATTTTTGGTCATATTACACCATTATTTGAACAAACTCTATGTTTCAAAACTAAAATGTTTTTCATTTAAAGATAACCTCTCAAAACTACTTCTAATTTGTTTTCTATTTAATTTGCTAATGGAAACAAGCAGCTTAAGTGATTCAATCGCTTTATTTATTACGATTGTGTTAATTTACATTATACTAATCGATATGTCGAACTATTTACAATAAAGCTGAGATACAATCGGTACATACTTTCGATAAATGTGATTGTTTTCAATCGAGATTTACAACTGAGTTGACAACACCTAAGCTGATTTTTACTCCCTAGGGGATAAAAACGCCTTTTATTCCCTAGAGAGTAAAAATGCTACTTTAGACTTGCAACACATGCATTTAAAATGGCTGTTTTTGCTGCAGTATGACAAAAAAGTATTTAGGATTAAATTAAAATATTTAGGGTTAATTTTATTAGTCATTAAATTAAATTTGTATATGATATTTAACTCAAAATCACAAATCTACAGATCATATTGGTAAAAAAGAGGATACTTGTAATATATGTTTATATTAATTGTACAAGAAGCAGCATTTGATTTTATAATGTTGGTTGGATTCCAGATGTTAAAGACTTTTGTTTTGTTCTGATTGTTATTTTGTAAATAACAATAATTATTGAGTTGTGATTGAAATGGAGAATAAATTGAATACACTAGATTTTATCTTGTTCTTATAAAATATTACAATGGCGCAGTCGAATTAAACGGACCTCGTTCCGAGTGATAGTAAGTCTAGTAAAAGTAAAGTTTTTTTTTTATACCAGATTCTGAAGAATATAAAGCTAAACTTCAAGAAAAAAAAGGGAGGTAAACTTAAAGACTAAGATGGCAGGAATAGGTAAAGTTGGTGAATTTAACCCACAAGATGAGCCCATTGAATCATATGCAATGAGGCTTAAGCATTATTTCAAAGCTAATGAGATTGATGACGATACCAAAGTTTCTGTTTTAATAACTGTTGTAGGCCCAAAAGTTTTAACAATTTTGTCTGATTTAGTTTCACCTGCAGCTGTAGATAGCAAAAGTTATGAAGAGTTAGTTAAAGTGCTTGAGAACTATTTTTCTCCAAAGAAATTGGTGGTAGCTGAGAGATATACTTTTTATTCTCGTGTGCAAAAACCTAGTGAGAGTATTTCAGAGTTTGTTGTAGCGATTAAACATTTAGCTAGTTCATGTAAATTTGGCACATTCTTAAAAGAGGCTCTTAGAGACAAGCTTATTTCAGGGATAAGTAATGAGGTCATAAGGCAAAAATTATTGTCTGAGGATCAAGAATTTGATGACGCTTATAGTTTGGCACTCAGATTAGAGCAGGCTGAAAAACAGACAAGTTTGTTCAATCCAAAACAGGAAATTTGTCATTTAAATTCCAAGCCCAATTCTTCACATGTGAATCAAAATAGGCAGACTGGTTGTCATTTCAATTCAGCTATTGGTGCTGGTATGACTAATATTAATGCTAAATTTAAGTGTTACAGATGTTGTTCAGTTGAACATAGGGCCAATGAATGTCCATATGCAAATTATAAGTGCAATGGGTGCAACATGGTTGGGCATCTACTAAAAGCTTGCCGAAACCAAAGTAAAGTTGCAAAATTTGGAAGGAAGGACAAGTCAGGTGCTAATAGAGTCCATCAAATCTCCGAAGATGATGTCAATGAGCTTAGCTCAAGCTGCTATGAAGTTTCAAATAATGTGTGTTTGTACAACTTTGGATTAAACACAGGTATGGCAGCTTACAAGGTAAGGCTAACTATAGAGAAAGTTCTGGTGGAGATGGAAATTGACAGCGGCTCAGCTGTATCAGTTTGTCCTTCAGACGTTTTTAATGAACATTTTTCTCATATTGAATTAAAGCCTGTTTCTATGAAATTGCGAACTTACACAGGTGGTGACGTGCCTGTTCTAGGTCAAGCTGAGGTTAGAGTTTTATATAAAAACCAGAACCTAGTGTTACCACTATTGATTGTTGAGGTTTGTCGTAAAGACCAGCCTATTTTGCTTGGAAGGAACTGGTTAGCAAAATTAAAGTTGGATTGGCATGCTGTATTTTCAAGATTGTATGATACTACTGGTACTAAATCTAAGTCTACAGTGAATGTTACCACATGTGAATTGAAGCAATCTAATTGTGAAGTTGTGTTGCCTAATGGCAAACTTGAGGCTGAAGTAGAGGCGTTAAAGAAAAAGTACAATGCAGTGTTTCAAGGGGGGCCAGGAGAAATAAAAGGTGTTAAGGCTCAAGTCACTCTCAAGGACAATGCTGTTCCTAAGTTTTGCAAATTTAGGCCTGTGCCTTACTCGTTAAGGGAAAAAGTAGAACAAGAATTAGATCGGTGGGTTGAGGATGGTATAGCGTACAGAGTTTCTAGTTCAGAATGGGCTACTCCGTTAGTTACAGTGCCCAAGACTAATGGTGTCCGATTGTGCGCAGACTTCAAAGTAACATTGAATCCGGTGTTACAGACGGAACATTATCCATTACCTCAACCTGAGGATATATTTGCTTCTCTGTCTGGTTGTACATATTTTTCAGTTGTGGATCTCACTAATGCTTATCAACAATTAGCTGTTGCGGAGGATTCACAACATCTGTTGACGTTAACAACTCACAAGGGACTATTTCGACTAAGACGTCTGCCATTTGGACTTTCTTCAGCTCCAGCTATATTTCAAGCTGTGATCGATCAAATTATAAACGGATTACCAGGTACTGTAGCCTATTTAGATGATGTTTTGGTTGGCGGCTCAACAAGAGAGGAAGCCTTTTATAGATTGGAGAAATTGTTACAGCGTCTTATGGAATTTGGAGTACAAGTTAATGGGAGTAAATGCAAGTTCTTACAGCCTGAAGTGGAATATTTAGGCTACGTCATTTCAGCATCAGGAGTCAGTCCACAACAAGGTATTGTTGAAGCTATTCAAAAAGCTCCCGAACCTACTAGTAAAGACGAGCTAAGGGCTTATGTTGGTTTAATAAACTATTATGGAAAATTTATTCAAAACTTGTCTGCTAAAATTCATTGTTTTTATGAACTGTTAAAGAAAGATGTTCCATGGAAATGGACCGAGCAATGTTCTCAAACATTCAAAGAAAGTAAATCTTTGAAGAAATTCCATAAATACATTTATGGGCGTACCAATTGTATTTTACAAAGTGATCATCAGCCACTAGCAGCTATTTTTGGATCGAAGCGAGGGGTGCCTAGTTTAGCTGCTGCTCGCCTACAACGATGGGCCCTGATTTTGTCTGCCTACAATTTTGAGGTAAAATATCGGAAGGGTTCCAGTTTGCCTCACGCTGATGCGTTGTCACGCTTACCACTATCCGAGAATGAAACTTTGGAGTTGGATGAAAATTATATATCTCATGTGGAATCTTGTGTAAGAGAAATGAACTTCTTCAATTCGGGGAGTGACGATTCTCCAATCACTTCTTTAGAGATAGGACAATTGACTGATAAAGACCCACTGTTGTCTAAAGTTCGGGATTTTGTGTTGTATGGGTGGCGTGAAATTGTAGACCCAATGTTAATTCCATTTCAGAGAAGGAGAGATGAATTGTCAGTGGATAAAAATTGCAAGAAATTGCAAGGTAAAGTCATCCAGATATTGCATGAACAACATCCTGGAATTACTCGAATGAAATTGTTGGCACGCAGCCACGTGTGGTGGCCTGGGACCGAAAAAGTAATTGAGGATGCTGTGTCATCTTGTTTGATTTGTCAAAGTACAAGAAATGCTGCTTCAAAAGTTCCATTGCAGCAATGGCCGTTAACTTCCGAGAGATGGCGCCGAATTCATATCGATTTTGCTGAAGATCCAACCACCAGACAGCAAATGTTGATTGTAGTGGATAGTTTTTCAAAGTGGATGGAAGTATTTTTAATGGGTTCTATTTCCACGGGAAAGACCATTGAGAAACTTCGTACACTATTTTCTGCTTATGGTTTACCTGAGGAGTTGGTGTGTGACAACGGCACGTCTTTTACCAGCCTAGAATTCAGGGAGTTTCTTAGAAAAAATGGTGTGAAACTAACATTTTCTCCACCATATCACCCTGCCTCCAATGGAGCAGCCGAGCGTTCTGTTCAAGAAGTTAAGAAAAGTTTGTTAAGGCAAGTTTTGGGTAAAAATCATCTCAGCAGACATCACTGCAGTATAAATTGGATAACTTTCTTTTCGCATATCGTAATACTCCATCGTCAGTAACCGGTGTGAGCCCGGCTGAACTGTTCTTACGTTGGAAACCTCAAACAAAATTGACTAGGTTAAAACCTAATCTACTAGACGAGTCAAGGAAGAAGCAGGAAATGCAGAAACGAGCCTCAGATAGGCATAGAGGTGCGTGTAGATTTTTTAATGAAAATCAGAAGGTGTTGGTTAAAACAGTCAGACAGGAGAAAGTTAGTTGGGTTCCAGGTCGTATATTGCAGTGTAAAAGTCCAGTTACTTATTTGGTTAGTGTTCTTGGCAAAACAAGAGTTTGCCATGCAGACCATCTTAGACCAACTGAGGTAGAGGAGGACGAAATCATTGTGCGGAAAGAGGAAGTTGGAAGGACTATTGAGGCACATCATCAAGAATTCAATAGAGATTTGCCTATTCTTCAGGAGTCTACATCACCATCAATATCAAGACATGATGCTTCACCTTATTTGCCTAGATTGAAGTCTGATGTTGGGAAACCACGGGGTGTGCAATACAGTCCATCTACAGTTTTGAGGAGATCACAAAGGACTGTGCACAAGCCGGAGAAATTGGATCTATAAAGTTGGAGAAGCCAAAGAGTCAGAAAAATTTTTAAAGTTTTAAAGTATTATGAGCCAAGCAAATTTTAAGTGTTGGCGAGTGTAATATATGTTTATATTAATTGTACAAGAAGCAGCATTTGATTTTATAATGTTGGTTGGATTCCAGATGTTAAAGACTTTTGTTTTGTTCTGATTGTTAATTTTGTAAATAACAATAATTATTGAGTTGTGATTGAAATGGAGAATAAATTGAATACACTAGATTTTATCTTGTTCTTATAAAATATTACAATACTAAAATGTAAAAAGACAATTCTGAAAATGTTTTGTATCAAATTGATAGTGACTTTTTTCAAATGATGCTTATACTGTTTTGATTTTAAATATCAACATTTTATGAACATCATAAACTTACATCATCTACATAAATAAACTCATACTACCTGCAAGTTTATTTTTATTGGGCCAACACAAAAATTAACTTTTAAACAATATGCTCAAACCTTCTATTAACTAGATTATTAACTTGTTGCACTCTAAACGCCTAACATAAGTTTATGCTTTGAAATTGGAACACAGAACAATTCTGAATCATCAATACCATCTGGTTAAACAAGTGGCAGACATACACTTACTTCGTAAAAAATAATCCTCACATAACGCTAAAGGTTAATGCACCTTAAAAAGATTTTAATTTTTAAATTATCATATAAAATTACAATGCTTACCTGATCAAATCAGTCGAATATTTTTTACATTTCAACTGGGAATTGATGGTTCGGTTGTTTAATTTGAAGGTAGGGCAACTAAGGCATGATCCTAACATACAATGCCAAAGAACAAACAGACAGATAGACTTAGTCTGTATGAATATGCAAATATTTTGTATGGACTTAATCAGTTTGTTTCATGGTACAGAATACAGATGAGGAGAAAAGTGATCAGGCATGAAAAATCCTTGAATTTAAAATTTTCTACTAAAATAAAATATATTTTGCTTGAGAGTGGTATGTGCGATAGCTTGAAAGATTGATGATTTTAATTTGGTAAGTAAACTAAGGTGTTTGTCCTCCCTCTTCAATATCTTGAAATGTAAATTGTCTTCTGTGTCTCTGAGTATGTTTAATAATTAATTTTATATATTTTAATACAAAAAAGATTGTAAATTTTGATTTTCCTTTTTATCAATACAAACAATATATTTTTAAACTATTTTTAGTGGAGGATGTTCTCTGAAACAGAGAAAAGTTCTCCTTGCCTCAAGAGATCTATTTTTTATTGTTTTCTAGATGGGTGGGGCAAAAGCACCATGTCACCACGACATTATTACATAGTTAAAATACGTCGGCGATTGGCTGAAATCGAACCTGAGCGACTCTCGCACTTGAACCAGAGTCACCTCAAATTAATTTTCCTCTTTTGAGTTTCTGTACTTGAAGCACCGTAAGTGGAAGTTAACGTAATTGTCTATTCCTGGAGAATGTTCACTGGGGTTGTTAAGATAAAGTGTCAGATAAAGTTTTTCAATTAATGAATTTAACTAAAATTTTTATCAGTGAAAACAGCTATTTTCAAGATAGGTATTGTGTAGCTAGAGGAGTTCATTACGTCTCTAGGGTAAAAAAGAATCAGCTAAGAGCATCAGCTGTAGATATTTTCTATTAGGTTACCTTCAATCGGGACTTGAACCTGATTCATACAGAACTCTATCAAAATCAAATTTTACATCTAAGCTGAAAGAGACTTTGAGCCAAAAAGGAAAAAAAATCATACTTCTTTTAAAGATAAATTATAATGGCTTCACTCTTGTTAATTTAGATTAAGGAACCTAGATGACTATTTACCAGCTTGGGAATTACTTTTGTAATATTGGTGTTCAGGTTTTATGTACAGCAAAGCTTTGTCTATTGTCTATTGTCACTTTGGAGTTAACCATTCAAATCAACCCCAACACACAGTATAAATGAATATGATAAGTTGTTCCACGTATAATCAAATTAATAATTAAATTGTATTCTGAAATATGGTTAACATTATAAAATGAAGCAGGATTCATGTTTCCTGAAAATGTGTGATGAGTGAAAGTGAAATAGAGCGATTTTCTAAAGCTTCCCTTGGGATAGTGATTCAATGAACAAAAACTATTTAAAAATGTAGTCTTAGTATTTATTATTCATTGTGGAAACAAAACTTCTTTTTAAATATAAAAAAGAAGCCAGAATTTTAGTGAAATAATTAATTAATCATTTTAATTAACGCCTGCTGGTTTAATTCTGTATACATGACCATTTTATATAGCCTATCAATATAGCTGACCATTTTAATACCATGTGATAAAAAAGCTCAAGGTAAGGTCGATTTCAACAATTTGTCCTAGGGTCATTTACTCAACAATTTGAAATGGAACAGATCACCTTCATTAAGTGCTTTTTTTATTTCATACTTTTTTTAAGATTAATCTATATATCAGCTGATCAGTTGTTGGCTGTTAAGAATAAGAATAAGAATCATTTATTCTATTGATCTTTTTACAAAGAAATAGGACACGTCATATACCGGTACATTAACAAAGGTAATGTTATTGCAAATATTTTTCCGTACTTTGTACGGTAATGGTACCGGTAATGTTGTTTCAAAGTAAGTAAATTTTTTGAACGGAGTATAATTAATTTTTGGGGGAAAGGCCATTAAGAATAATAAAAGCTGAAATATTTAAGATTTTGTATAAAATAGTGTATATTCAATAAGAAAATGTATAAAAAGTTGAGCAAATAGTCTGTAGTAGAAACAAATAATAATAAATACACTGTATGTGTACGAATTGTTCTTAGAGAATGAATGAATAACATAACACTAAATTTTACTTTGTTCGTTTAACATTTTGATTCTTCTTCTTGCTCACATTGTTTTTGCGAGACAGCCTTCAGTTCCAAAAACACAACACCTAGAACCAAAAACATTTATTTAAAATCACATGCACTTGTCAAATTACTGGTTTGAGATCTGTTAATCACATAGAAAAAAAAACATAATAAAAATAACAATAGTTTTTGGAGAAAAAACTTTTTTTTTAATTAGTTTTAAATATATAAAAACAATTTTGGAAAGTGTAATGTACACATACAACAACATTTAAAAACAGCAAACTTCTACGTTTACACAATATTCCTTATTGTGGAAAGATACAATTTAGTCTTCTGGGGCCGACCGTGTCAAAAACGACGCAAGACTAACGGCTACCAACGTTTCCCAGAAGACCATGTATCAATAATTACTAATTAGTGACCGTTGAAGCCTATTTAAGACAAATATTCCTTGTACTGAGGTTTGTTTTTTTAAATGTAATTTATTGAGTTGGTCTATAAACATGGTTTAGTTTAAAAAATACTTGTATTGAAAATGTTGACATGATTTACTTAGTATTTAGACACAAGAAAAAGGGGAATACATAAGAAAATCGAGTTGAATGTGATATGAGGAGACAGGAAAGAATACCGAAAGGAAGACATCAACGGGAATGGATGGATGAGATGAGGAGGGATGTGAAAAAGAGAGGAAAATATGGAAAAAGGTGGAAGGATGTAGATAAACAGCTATAATTCAGAGAATATTTTAAGACCAAGGAACATTTTGATACTGGGTACTAATGAATTGTTATGAAAAACAGAAGGTGAAAATTTAAGAAGTCTTACCACTGGGGTTGATCCGTACTTGTAGGAGAGATGTTGGTTTGACCATTTCATCACAATAGGATGTTCCAAATAAGTCCTGGGGGAAAACATTAAATGTTAGAATATCATGTACTGCTCATAAAGGCTTACATGAGCTACCTATAGCTAGGTTAAGAGTACTTTGAAACAATACAAAATACCCCCACCGCAGCAAACGTGCAGGGTAACTGAATTTCCATTTGCCTAGTTGGGTTGTTTATTAAAAAATAATCCTTTTTTCAAATTCCCTATTTAATTAATATTAAGTTTAATGAGTACATAGGTTTGCTTCTACTCCTTTTGTCAAATTCCCTATTTAAGTGATATTAAGTTTAATGAGTACGTAGGTTTGCTTCTACAGAGAAGGTTATAAAGTTTGTGTTTTTTTATTGAAATATTAAAAGCATAGTATGAAATAAATTAATTAATTTTATCAAAATGGTATCCATTTTAAACAAGCACATTAATGTTGGCAGCATTTAATTTCCCTAGGTACCATGGTTGATATAAATACCCCCGCCATAGCAAACCTGCAGACTAAGCCAATTTCCATTTACCTGGCTCAATTTCTACTAAAATATTCCCTCAAAATGGTCAGATTCTCCGTGACCATTAGCTGTACAACAGCGCTTCAGTGTACTAAATTATTTGTTTTCTAGGCTCTAAAAAAAGTTTTGAAAGAAATTGACGGTCAAAAATGGGAAACTCAAATTTTTACCCCAAAAATTATTCTAGGTTTAGACATTGTACAGAAATTTATCAAAATCAGATGATTTTTACTAGAATCGTGGAACAACACAACACACATGTAAATGAATTTGAACGGATTGCGTCTTTTAACAACTGGCCACAAAAAAATAACAGAAACAAAAATCGGTCTCAGGTATAGGTCTTACCATGAGACTTACGGTAATAGCATTCCCTACATGGAAAATTCCCTAACAATAACATAGAGATTACCTTTAAATGTTCATTAATCTTTTGAGTCCCACTAATTATTCATTGATCCATCTTTGCATGTTTTTACCAAGTTTTCCCCTAATCTTGTTAAAAAAAACTACAAATTAGTATAAAAGAAGTCGGACACTGAGGATGGTAAGTAACAAAATGCCTGATTTAAGGTGCAACTTTCACAATTTATTATACACTCTTACCTCAATCTGTCACTAAAGGTGAACTTCACGGATTTAAATCCAAACCCTCGACCTGTGGTGCTGTTTTTAAAAAAGGGAGATGTTTTTGGTAAGTTTCTATTCTATTAATATTTTCAAATAAGGAACGATACTTTTACAAATTACAAACAAGCATATTAATTTCTAACTTACATTGACGATATAACCAGCAGGGTTGCGTAGGCCAAGGTTTAACACAGTGACGTTGTAACGGTACGGCATCCCATCAGCTCGGTAGCTCACAAATGCCACAGCAAACGAGAAGTGTTCCCCAACTTTAGGAGAAATTGGCCGAACCCAAGTGTTGATTTTTTCTCTCTGAAAAGATTATGTTAAAATTAAAAATTGCAACAAAAATAATTTCCAAACAAACTAGCTCGCATTTAAATACAGTAGAGTCCCGATTACCCGAGCTTCTGGGTTAACCGAAGCACATCTTGAAAATAAAAATGTCAAAATTGCATCAAATCAGAGGTGGACAGATATCTGTAAAAGTCGGCAGCGGTCGGCAAACGTCGGGTGTGTTCGGCTAAAGGAGAGTGTGTTTGTGGTTTACTGCCCGCCCCCCATTTTGCTCTTGGTTTTGCTTAGTTGTCAATACTGTGGTGAGTAACGCTAAAGCTACTGTTACGTTGTGTTATTTCTAAGCACATCATGAGTGGTAAACGCCAAATGGAA